CCAGGTTGATTACAAGATCTTCAAAGATAAGTTGTGCGAGTTTAACCGGGTGCTACGTAGTACGAGAGAAAGGTATTTTTCTGAAATGATTGAAGGCTGCAGTAACAATCTGCGTGTTCTGTTTTCAACAGTTAATAGATTAACAAACCCCCCTGTTCAGATGCCATTAGAGCTAACTTCCAAACGTAAATGCAATGAGTTTGCACACTTTTTCAATGACAAGGTTCAAGGCATCAAAAACGCCATTGTCTCCAATCCACAGATAACCATCCAACAGCCAGAAAGGCTCTCTGAGCTAACTTACTTTGCACCTGTAGATGATAAAAATGTCCAAGAAATAATCTCCAGTTTGAGCTCCTCCACATGCAGCCTGGATGTACTACCCACTAGATTTCTGAAGTCTGTTCTGAGCAGTCTGTTACCTTCACTCACACAGATAGTAAACATGTCCCTTCATTCTGGAATATTCCCAAAGGCCCTGAAAACTGCAGTCATCAGGCCCCTGCTAAAAAAGAGCAGCCTGGATGCTACGGTACTTAACAACTATCGTCCCATCTCAAATCTGCCATTTATGGGGAAAGTCCTTGAAAAAGTTGTCTACCTACAGCTTACTAGATTTCTTATAATTAACAACTCATTTGATATGTTTCAGTCCGGCTTTAGACCCCACCACAGCACTGAGACTGCTCTTGTCAAGGTTACAAACGATATCCGGCTGAACACGACGCAGGCAAAGTCTCAATCTTAATCTTGTTAGATCTGAGTGCTGCCTTTGACACCGTCGACCATGAGATCCTCTTACAGAGATTAGAGGACTGGGTTGGAGTCGCTGGCACCGCCCTAAGTTGGTTTAGGTCTTACCTTGAAGACAGGAAGTACTTTGTGGAGATTGGAGACTGTGTCTCAGATCATATGGCCCTGACCTGTGGAGTACCACAGGGGTCGATCCTGGGACCTCTTCTGTTCAATCTCTACATGCTGCCGTTAGGTCAGTTAATACGCAGAAACAAAGTTTCCTATCATAACTATGCAGACGACACTCAGATCTATGTCTCACTGACTGCAGGAGAACATGGACCAGTGGACTCACTCCTTCACTGTATCCAACAGATCAGTGAGTGGATGCAAAACAACTTCCTTCAGCTAAACGCAGACAAAACTGAAATGATTGTCTTTGGTCCCCAGAAACAAAGAGAGAGCGTCATCTGTCACCTACAGTCTCTCTCCCTAAAACCTTCAAACAAGGTCAGAAATCTAGGGGTAATACTGGACTCAGACTTAAATTTTAATAGCCACATCAAATCAGTAACATCAGCAGCTTTTTACCATCTAAAAAACATTGCCAGGATCAAAAACATAGTGTCTAAACAGACTTGGAGATTCTTATCCATGCATTTGTCTCCAGTAGGTTAGACTACTGCAATGGCCTGCTCACAGGTCTGTCCAAACAGGCTGTAAAACAGCTGCAGTACATTCAAAATGCAGCAGCTCGAGTCCTGACTAGAACCAGGAAGTACGACCACATTAGTCCGGTCCTCAGGTCCCTGCACTGGCTTCCTGTGGCTCAGAGAATAGACTTTAAAACAGCTCTGCTTGTGTACAAATCTCTCCATGGCCTCGCACCAAACTATATTAGTGACATGTTAGTCCCATATGAACCAGCCCGGACTCTGAGGAGCACAGGGACTGGACTCCTGTTAGTGCCCAGAGTCAGAACTAAACATGGGGAGGCTGCTTTTCAGATTCATGCTGCTAAAATCTGGAACAGTTCCTGAAGATGTGAGACAGGCCTCCTCTCTGACAATGTTTAAGACAAGGTTGAAAACAGTTCTGTTTAGCTGTGCATACAACTGAGGGATTTTATATTTTTATCTTTTTTTTAATGTACTGTGATTATTTATGATTTTAATGCTTTCTTGTTCTGTTCAGCACTTTGAATTGCCTTGTGTATGAATTGTGCTATATAAATAAACTTGCCTTGCCTTGCCTACTGATTTATTGTTAGTTTATTTAAAGCTTGGCTATATGACTCAGGGTTTTCTTTGAATTGAACTGTCTCTGTTCAAGTAAGCCTCACTTTTGACATTTTGACGTATAGAGTCTTTAATAAAGCAAGTATACTGGTGACAGGGTGGCTGAGTGGGTAGCACCCTTGCCTCCAGACTGCATGGTACCAAATTCAAATCCTGGTCACAACATAAGTTGAAATTTAAACTTTATTGCAGTCACGTGAATTAGAAGTAAACTTTACTTGTCGGGGTTTACAGTGTGAGAGAGAGACCCCAATGAGGTAGATTTCAGTTCCAAGCTTCAAGCAGATAACGTGACTCAAAAAGTGATCCACCAAATGTTTGAGGAAACCATGAAAGGGTTAATGACATTGAGGTGTGACATGGTTGAAGTGGACCAGTCTGTACTGACCAGAACACGTCTCTAGTGGGTAGTTGACCGCATGGACCGGAGCTACCGTGAGACCAGTGACGCATCTCTGGTTGTAGGTTGTGTGGACAGGGATTGTTGTGTGTACTCCTGGTGAATTGTGGGTCTGTTTGATGCTTCTCAGGAGCCAGTGCACTTCCTCTAACGTAACACGCACACACCTGCACTCTCTCGTCCATATGACACCCTGCACATGCCCCCTTCTGGCGCTCAGATGGGCCATTTCCATATCATATAGGCCAGTGGTGCGGTGAATACAATATGCACGCTGTATAATAACCTTGTTTAATGTAATATATACTGCAACATTACGTTTCTGCAACAATGGACGTCATTCCCATCAGCTCCAGCGTTGTTATCCAAAGAGAAACGTTGATTCACCAATGTGACTTTGTGAAGTGCAATTACCAACCGCCTAATGGTCTGTCTGACTTTGATTAAAAAAATAGTGTCACAAACTGTATCAAGCTGGGGTATATGGCTTTTTTTTTAAAAATCATACATAACAACAAGCTGTCCTAATCTCATTTCTAATCTAAATACGTCATCTTTTGCAGATTTGAGAGGTGATGGGTGGTCCTGTATGTGTCATTTTTGTGCCTGAAAAAGCTGATTTATATGATGTGCCAGAGGACAAAAATACATGCTTTTCAATGGATTTTGACTGCGTATGTATTTATTAGTGGCTTAAGAATTTCCGCAGCTTCTATTTTGTATCTCACAAACTCCTTCTCCTTTCATGTACCCAGATTTAAATTTAATCTGAAGTATTGGACAAAAAAACCCCCAAAATATTTAATTTTAGAGCCCATCTGTGTCGAACGGCGCGCCTCTCTTGCCTTTGTTTTAATCCATGAGGTAGAAAAGTGTGTGTGGATATGTATCATATTGTTAATCTGGTTTCAAAGTGAGTGGTGACAGGGGCAAATAATCTCATTTTTGTTCCAATCACTTCCTTTCCAACGCAACTTAATTCTCAGAACAGCAGGTAGTGACTTCACTTTAGCTCTTATAAGGATTGATGAGAAGGGTTAGAAGGTTACCGGGTGTAGAGTTATAACATTGAATACATGTTTTTTATCATGTGAATCTTTTATAATGTGTTAAAAAGTTCAAAAAGTCTCATTCCAAACACAGCTGGAAAGAAAGTATGTCGAGAAGTTTCACACTTAGTTCACCAAAACCTAAGTCCATTATTGAGTATTTATTGTTGGTAGACTTTGCATTGAATAAAATCAGTATTTTTTTTTAATTTTAACCATGTTGCAGCATTTTTCCCTCATCAAAAACAGACCCGAAGTTGTTTTTAGATCCCTCCGCACTAATATCATGAACTGGCACCAAAATGTAACTCCGCCCCTTCTGTTTAAAAGCTCCTGTCTCAGTCCAGTAGTAATATGATGTCGTTGCACCTCTATTTAGGTAGTTTTCTGCCTTTTTCATAACCAAAGTACTCCCCATATATTTGTTTTAGCAATCTCTTAGCAATTGATCTGAAAAAAAAAGCTCTGTCATGGCAAGAGCTCTGGTGTGTGTCGTCTTCTCTGTCTGCTGCACACTGGGGTAGTAGTCTTGCACAGTTTTTCCAATGTGGTTTTACTGCAAATGGCAAATAAATGAATCTGAATTAATAACAAGTGTCATTTTCAAAATTCTAAATAAAAACATAACAAATTCTACCCCTCCTTCTTGAATTTCCTACATTCTGTAATATTAATTTCTCCATTGTGAGATAATAAAGTACATCTCATCTTTCATAACATGACAGAGTAAATAGTCTTATTATAAATGTTAATGTTCAAAAAGTAAAACCTAATATTATTTATTTAATATCGACCATTTGGACATACTGTACAGTATGCAGGTTGACGATATTGTTGCTGCATGTATGTTTGTAAGAAAGATCCCTGTGATATTGTTTACACTTCTGTTTGAAAAAGCTGATCTAAAAATAGATTTGACAGGCACCAACGACCATGCATGTGAAAACTAGTGATAGAACCAAACTGTTTTGAGAGACAGGAACTTATTGTTTTTATTACATAATTCAATTTGCAGTAGGTTGAAAGTTATTTACTGCCGTGAAAAAGAGAGTACAAAAACTGAATATAATTTGCCCGTGCCTGTGCTCTGGCCTCACTTCCCCGCACTAGACTTAATGTGTTTGTAGCTGCGTGTTTTATGTGTTGTACTGCATAACCTAAGTGACACAAACAGGCTGCGGATGTGAGGGGGCAGTGGCGGAAACATTTGTTCATTTGAGGATCATCGCCTCGCTCTCCAGTCTACACTCATCATTCTTCGCCGAGCCGTGTTTCTTCATTTACAAACCATTAAGAGAGCTGCATCTGCACACGCGGCGCTCTCGGTCCGCTCTCTCCCTCAGGCGTACTGCGGATTTCACTGAACACGTTTACACAGAGCCTCTTCATTCTGGGACTGCACAATATGTTCCAGAGGAAGAGTGGACTTTTATCACAAGTCTAATAATATGTGCCACATATGAAGAAGCTAACATTGTACATAAAGTTCAAAATATGTTTATTTACACATGCAAAAAACTAGTCATCTAACTGGCAAAGCAGAGCAGAGGCTTTGGAGATCCAGTAATCACTGGGTCGGCTCGAAGGAAGCATGACCGTCACAACAAAGTTAGTGGAGTGACCTGGACAGAGACACAATGTGGGGAAAAAGAATTTCAGACAGTGCATTTTAAATAATTAGGCTCGTTCATCACCAGGCTATGTTTTTTATGTTTGACTCAAAATGTCAAGATCTTTAAGAAATTGTCAGTAAACATCAGGAAATAGGACAATTTTGGTGTTCCAGTTCAGTGTCTGGATCCAGAATTTTTGAAGTAAACTGTGCCTCTTGGTCAAGATCTGTGCTCTGTAAGGGCTTTTCTACTATAGTAGAATATGGTTTCTGCAGCTGTGCACAATAGACGCATAGACAATAAAGAAACTGTAGGTCATGAAGGAAGTTTTGGTCAAACTTGCTCTGGCACCGATTGACATTGAAAAGTAAATTCCTGTAGCTCAGTAACCATTTGTGTCACACTCAACATTTTGGGCTTAAAATCAGTGGTTTAGTGCTTACTTATGTTTATATGTTTATATTTTGATATTTCAAAATAAATCCAGATATGAGCCATGATGGGCTTTTGCTTCACTGCAAGAAGGTCCTGGGTTCAACTCCTCCTCCAGGCCTTTAGGTTGGTTAGTTAGTTTCCTCCGGGTGCTCCGGTTTCACCTACCACTAAAAGCAACAATTGCAAATTAGCCTATGGCTACAATCTGGAGAGGTGTGTTCATTAACATCCACTGTCCCAACCAAATAAACAATTAAATAATAAATGAGACATGGTAGTTTGTATCTTCCCCTGCTATGGTGTTTGGTCACCCTGTTGCCACAAATGCCCATATAAGGAAATTAGCTCCAGCTAGCTTAAGTTCGAAAATGTTTTTCAGCATTCACCACGTGTCAGTATTCAGTTATTCCACTCCTAACATACGGTCTATGGCACAAATGTAAGATCTTTTAAGACCGACTCGCAGCTTTTCAAGACCACTAACATACTAACAGAACTTACATATTTGTTTGAAGACCACAAAGTTGCAGCTTCCACAATAACACTGTCCAATATTGAGAAATATACAGAAAGAACACAGCTTTTATCATCTGCACTTATTCTTAGGATCAACATTTTAAGGCCTTTGTTTTCAATTTGAAACGTTTTAAGACTTGCTTGAGCACCTGTGGTGGAGAGGGTCCCGGCCCGAGAGGAGGTCTTGTACAGAGGAGCCTGGTACAGGTCTGGATCAGGGATGTAGTTCTGCTGAGGCTCGAAGTGCACCACTGGTAACATGGAGTTCATCTGTCGCGGTAAAGCGTCCGCGACCACCATGTTCTCATCGTCCCAGCGACTCGCGTCCATAAACATCCCGTGGACCAGCACACCGTCCCCTGGGTCAGGCAGCTGTTGAGTCCAAAGAAGGAGAAGAGAATAGGCTATAATTTTTATATTATGTAATAGGGCAAAATTAAATTCATTACATGGATATGTATTTATTACAGGCTTAAGATTTTGGTACCCCAGCTTAAATTTTGTATCTCCTTCTCCTTCTCCCTTCATGTACCCAGATTTGAATTTAAAATCAAATTCCATGCAACTATTTTCTCGGTCTCAAAACAGTTTGGTTCTATCACTAGTTTTCATATGCACGTATTTTGTCACCTGTCACATCTGTAAATCTGCTTTTTCAGACAGAAAAGTGGAAAAGAGAGGATGTATGAGAGGATTGTATGTTTTTTAAGTGTTTGTGAATGTTCCATAGTGTGAGCGTTAACATTTAGTTTCAAAGACAACAAGGCTTTGCAGATAAAACAAATTTGACGGGGAGTGTTGAAACGCAAACACAAACTTAAAAAATGTCCATAATATATACAGCTCGAGATTCAAGATTCAATTCATTTGCCATTTTCAGAAAAACCACATTGGAAAAACTGTGCAAGATTACCCCAGCGTGCACCAGACAGTACACAGGTGTCATTTTTCTGGCGCCATGGCAATATATTTATCATTTGTCTTTACCTCATCATCCATGTCCAATTTTGCATTCTCAGGAAGAGCTCGTAGCACTTCGCTCACAGCAGCCTGATCCCTGTAGACAGCCACCATGTTAAAGCGAAAGTTCAGCTCGTCTATAGGAAGATTGTAGAGCCGTGCATGATTCTGAAGCACTCCTGTAGAAAACACATCCAGATCGTGAAACTCGCAGAACTACCTTTTGTTTGCTGCGTGACTGTGTTTTACCCGTGAGAAAGCCTTGAGGGAAGAAGAACCCAGAGATCCAGAACGATTTGGGCTGTCCACGAGTGATCCAAGTCTAGTCAAGGAAGGCACAGGAGTAATTATTGTGAACACAACATCACTTTTTGGTTTTTCGTGTTCAACAAACCATGGTGCATTACAAGACTAGTGCTTCTTGTGGGACCTGAAAAGGGGCTCCCTGGTGAAGGGCGTCTGACTCAGCAGCAAGAGGTTTTTGAACCAGGACCAGCCTCTCTGAATGTAACTGTTCTGAGTCCAACCGCACGGAACAACTCAAATTATGAAATGTGTGTTTCTGGAGGAGGAAAAATGTCTGAGGGGAAAGTCTGGGCTCACTCTTCATGTGTCATTAGAATCTTTTTTTAATTTATCAGGAAGCAACACACACAGACATGTCATCATTATTTGTTGTCTTTTGACAGAAACTATGAAAATCTTGCTCTTGGAAGATTGATACTTCAAAATAGTGAGAAAATAGTTATGTTAATGTTACTAACAATTATTTTAACAAGGCAGAAACATATTATTTTCTTTATCAGTGGACGTTTCCAAAAAATGCTTTAATTGTAAAGCATTTCTTAGAGGTTGGCACATGGTGACTGAGATATGACTAAGTAATTATGTTTTGTTTTTAGAGACTTACATTATTCAAAATGACGAAACATAACTTGAGATGTGAATAGTCCACTAACCATTGAGACTGTATTTGCTCGTTTAGATAGATTCCATTAGAAACAAAAGTGAAAGGAACACCTGACCTGCAAAGTGGGCAGTCCACTTAGGCTCCAGAAGTAAAATGTCCCATTCAAATCCCCATTTCAGAGTTTGAAGACACCTCGGAGGCTAATTAGCTATGTGGTAACTACGATTCACAGTGGTTTTAGACAAAAAAGGACAATACAAACATAACATTTTGCGATTTAAATATATATTTGTCTTCCTCATAGCTGATCAACCACAAGCATGCTTTCAAACTTTTACAATGACTTTACTTTTGGAAGTGGACAGGTACTTTGCAGCTCCATAATAGACTCAAACTCTTGTGTGTTTTGTGCTCACCTGAATAAAGAAGGTCCTGAGCACCAGATCTTTGACCCATGAAGCCAGTGGCTTCAGAGAAGGGTACGCAGAGTTGGCCCAGTGGCTCGGGACCTGGTTGTTGAGGAAGCTCCTGTAGATGCGGTCCATCTCCTCTGACATCACCACAAGACCTCCAATGGCCTTTTGGAGAGTCACCAGAGAAGTCTAGCGAGTAAAGCAGTGTAACAATTCAACAGGACAGAATAAGAAGCAAGATTCTTCTTATTAGCAAAAACATGTTTTATTATAAAATACAAGGAAGGTGTTCTTATGTTCATGATTTTCAATTCAGCTCGTGCAGTGTCCATTAGCGTGTTGAGCCCCTCGGAAGCATCGATTACTTTAAGCTCCAAATGGGGTTTAGTTTGAAGTTCAGTGCTTAAAACAAAATCATTGGGACATACTGTACACAGACAGCCATTCCCTGCTTTTATAGTTAGATGTTGTAGTTCTTGCACAAACAAATTTAAATGTCACCATGTTACAACATTGTCCCTCATCAAGACCTGGAGTTAGATCCATTCACGCTAATATCAGAAACCTCTGCCACAAATGTATAAAACGCTCCAGTCTCAAACTTTTTAATAGTATGATTTACCACTTTGACTTCACGCTTAGATCAGTAGAGTACCACTTTGATGGTGGCATAGCATGTTTTACCTTTCATACTTACTTACCATATATGTTATACTTAACTTATTAGTTCACATTCTAAAACAAGTAAATAGTCTTATCATCATGTTTAATGGCTAAGAATAATATTTCTTTATTCATTTGGTGGTGAACACACACACTGGACAAACAGCCCAACCAAATAAACGATACATAAATAAATAAAGTTGCAGGGGCTTAACTTAAAGTGCCTGGTTTTCGGAATGTATAGAAACATGAATCCTGGAGCAAAGTGCATAAATCATGAAAACAGCCATGCGCCTCACCTTGAGCACTTTGAGTAAATTGTTAAATCGATCGACCTCCTGCCCCAGCACCGTCGTGAGCGAGTTCAAGCGTCCATGTTCATCTTGGATAAACAGGCCCTCTGTAGCTTCACTCATGTCTTGACGCTCTGCATGGAAACAGAAAGATAATCAAGTGAAATATTTATACACAAACTAATGTCCTTTTGTGGGCACTGACCAGGGAGTTTATCTAAGATGGACTTCGCCATCTCACAGACGATTTCATCATTACTCTTTGCTCCATCGCTGGCCGAAGACCGAGGGTTAACATCCATTATGGTGCTGATCAAAGATAAAGTTTCTTTTCGCTGCAAATAAATGTATTTATTTAACCCATTAGGCAGAAAAAAACAACAATGTTGAGCCCAGAAACCTCATATGAGATAGGGGACTACTAAAATCAACTGTAGAAATAAATAAAAGAAAGAAATGTAGGAGGAGCAAGACAAGAAAAACAGGAACCTAGTGTTCTGATTATTTCTTTTCAATATTTATTCTCTTTTAATGTAAAGTTGACACATAATTAGCATAATGCATTGGTTTTTAACAGTGCTTTTATGACAATATGTGCCATCGGCTGCTCCGACCGCCACCGATCCTTCATGCACACACCAGACTTATGCTCGGCATTGTGGGTGAAGTGTCTTCTCGCCTGAGGCCCTTTACAGTCGCCCCACTGTGGCACCTGGTGTTCCAAGAAATCACCTATCACAGTACTAACCAGGCCTTGCCCTGCTTAGCTTCAGAGGTCTTACAGGATCTGGCTTCCACATGCAGGTGGCGCAATGTAAGGTTGTTTCCTGCCTGTCAATCAATGAAATATAATCTAGTCTAAAATGTAGAGAAGTAGTCAAGTAACATACTGTATGACAAACTCATATGAACTTGAACAGATACTATAAAAATTTAACATTACCATTCTGGTGCGGATCATGTGTCTATTCCATTGTGTCTGCATTTTCCCAACACAATATCTTATCTGTTTGGGATTGAATGTGTCCAACCTTTTCAGAGAATGGTGGATAATTTATACATTACCTGAAAAGCCAAGTTGGCGTTCTCGTGCATGCCAAACACTTCTGGATCGTCAATAATGGGCAGACTTTCAATATAGTCCCTGAAATCATTGAGGTGGCTAGAGTCTGGGGCATGATAAATCCCTAGTGCACAAAACAAACAAGAGTTATAATTGGTTTGCAGATGTTTTGTTTAGAATCAAGATGAAAGACGTTTTACCTGAAGATGAATAAGTGTAGCCTGGATTCAGAGTCGGAGGAGAGAAGAAGCTTTTAAGGATGGTTTTGAGGCATCGCTGATCCCAGGCATCAGTCACTCTGCCTCCGTATGTGATCTCACCTGAGGAGGAACATGGTGAAATCCTAATCCGACGGCCATTTTGCAACAAAGCACAGTGTTTCAGCCAATCCCAGACTTTTAAATCAAGGTCAGATACTTTATGAAAATCGAGAGATGTTTTTCAAATGTGAGCGCCATTTAGTCCCGCCCCCCCCCAAAGGGTTCCTGATGGATGCAATATATTTAAATAGTTGATCGACAGCTGAGGCCCCTCACATTTAATGAAGCTATTCTCCTCCAGAATTTCTTACGAGTGATTTTTTTATTTTCAAGGAGAGGGACTGTTTAAAATACATTTATTATATAGAAAATACTTAATTTAGAATAGAGGATACTACATGGTCAAAAGGTCAAAAATAATGTGTTCTTTTCAAAATGTAATACCATTGAAGTTGCAAAAATCACCTCTAAAAAAAACCTATTCATCTTGAAAGAGTGATAATAACCAGGTTTTATGACATGTTGGATTAATTATAGTGAGGAGTAAAGCAGTGTGTCCCGGGGGATTGTCAATTGTTTGCTTTGTTCCCATCGTTGGCTCCTAAAACCGTCATTTTAGCAGCACATTAGAGAGTTGTTTTATCATTTATAGTTTGCCCTCAGTTGTGAAGACCTGCATCCCCACAAAAGATCACTGCTGTCTGATCACTACATATAAAAATGCACTGTCACAGATGACACCAAGATGAAAAATAGGTTCTCAAATAAGGTCCATAAATCTATGGATATAATGTATAGTATAATCTCCCAAAAATGTGTCAAGAAAAAATATAACATCGTTTTTACTGTTATTTATTATTATAATCAATCTGGTTCAGTTTCCAGGATAAACGATAAGCTATCGTTCCTTATGAAGACATATGAAATGTCAGCTAAAGCATATCATGTATATCAAATGAAATTAGAATGGTTAATAGCTTTGCAATCAATCAAGTCTCATAATTATTTTTACTCGGCTGTGTTGTGAGCATGAAATGCTGCAATATAAAAGCGAGAGTTGCATAAGAGGGAGATTTGAGAAAAGCATCTTCAGGATATTCAGACAAATGCAAACAGAAGGTTGTCGGATGCTGAAGGGAGAATAAAGCTGCTTTTGGACCAGGAGAAAACAGCTCTTTCTAAAAGGAGGAAAGGCAATATCATGGTTGGTTTGAGCACAAAATGTGTGCTTCAGCCCGGGGAGGAGGAGAGGACTGTAAACATTAAGGATTAAACAAATAAGAGGAGGGATAGAAGTGATGAGGGACATCAACATGATAATGGAGTGGCACGCTGCACAGAAGTGTAATTGAAAACCAGATCATCCAAACTAATGAACGAGCGAGGTAAATGACAATGTGCTCCTCATCTGTCTATGTTTGAGTTCTGTAATAAATGATCCCTTTATTAGTTAAATGTCTAGTACCCCTTTATTTTATATTAAACGTATAAAACAGTACCAACTGTCATCTTTTCCTAATCCAGGTTGTGGATGTTTAAAATGCTTAAAATAAATGTTGTACTCGTCTTTTAAGCTGCAAAAAAATGAACTGTACTATTGTCCGGTACAATGTAATTTTAATTAAAATGTAGTGAACTGAAATCTTTAGTTCCACCTTTAGTTACTAAAGCATAATACTATTCCTGGTATGTGGGCATCTGTTTTTTTAACCTATACAAAGGCAGTGATGAGGAAGAACCAGGTTCAAAGCAGATCACTAAACAAATAGGACCACAGCTGCACAGATGGAACAGGCCATCTTTGTTGTAGCAGAAAAACATGAGGTTTTTCCAACTGCGCGAGATGCACAAATGTGCACAGTGTTGACAAAAACAAGGTGGTGTCACAGCAGAATAAAGCAGGACAAACGATCTCAGAAGCATCTTGGCTTATGAAGAGAGTCTGCTTTGGTGTGTGTAGGGTTTTCACACAAATATGACTGGGTTACTTAGTCAACGAGCTAAAATACCTTCACAGAACAGTTTTATTTTTAAGTGAAATGTGCAATGTGAAAGTATTAGAATCTTACTCCCAGAATAGTCACTAATGATCATTTGTTTGAACAAATCTCTGAACAGATAAATCGTGACCAATAATGATACGAGTGATGTAAATGATAATAAAAACATCTCATTGTTTAAGCCGATATATGTATCTACGAGCAGTTCTTAACATCTACAACAATTACATTACATTACATTTATACAATTGTTTCCACAAGATTCTCACCAGTGATGTAAATAAGTGCGTCCCAGGGGATGGAGCCGTCCTTGCAGTACAGATTGAGGTTAAGCAGGGCGCACTCCCTGTCACTATCATTGAATTCATATGGGATGTTCCAGCCCAGAGGGCCAAACTTCTTCCGCTCCTAGTCACAGAAAATAAAAAACAAAAGAAATGCATATTATGAATTATGCATTTAGTAAGACTTTGCACATCCAAAAGAAAGGATACCTGGATAATTGCATGGAAAAAGCAGACACCAAAGACAATCTTTCTCCAGTCGTTTTCAAGAACATGGTCCTCAAAGTAATTACTGGTGATTTCTGTAAAGGCTCTTCTCATATTTGCTCGTAGTCCTTTGGGAGGCTCGTTCGTCACCTTAAAATCACATAATCACATTATTCAAATGAAACAATAAATGAAGTAGCTTTAGTGTATAAGGCTGCATTTTTAAAAATACAACTAATATATTATACAATAATAATAATTAATAATAGTCTTCGTCATCTTGTTGTCATACTGCAATAATAATAATTAGCTCAGGGAATTCTTTTGTTACTAAATCGTTTAAAGTGTTTTATGGAGAGAGTGGAAATTTCATTCAATGAGCCTCATTATTGCATTTTTCTTATCTCATCAAAACAACAAAGGAGTCATTTCCAGCAGTCTGAGTCTTTGTGATTACAAAGTCTGAGTGTCTTTTCTGAAACACTGAATAATTGTTCCACTCAAGTTGAAAAACAATTCAACTTGGTGGCAAATCGTGACATTTAATAGAAATTATACATACAGGTGAGTGTTTCTTGATTAACAAAACAACACACAATTAAATACTTGTACAATCTACAAACCATATCTATACAAACCTTGACTGAATTTTGCAAGACTGTGACGGGGAATACTTTTGTGGGCATGGAGCTCAGGAACAAGCGGAAGTTCTCATGGATCTGTGTATCTACAGGTATAAGAGAGTGAGAGGTGTTACTATAAAGAAGCACAAAAATACTTCTTTCACTCACCGCTGATATCTGGAATTACATCATTGTTATCATTGTATTTATTTCATAATATATTAAAAGAAAATCCCATCTGGTCACAAACAGATTTCTTACTTCAACACAAGCTATATCAAATATCTACATTGATATTGGGGCAAATATGAGCCAATATCAATGTTGGTGCTGATTACAGATTTTTCAGAACAAAAGTGATGCAAAGATAACCACCAAGATAACAAAATCATGGTATTACAACATTTTTCTTTACAATGCTCCTTTTGTGGCATTAAAATCACATTTATACCTACATTTAGAAACATAAGCACCACATTAATATATATTTGTTATATTTTCATTAGTCATTTTGGAAATGTAACCTGTAATATATATTATAGATCTTTCAAGCTTTTGTTTTTATGCATTTGTATTTTCAATGTTATACTTTTAGTGTGTCTGTACTTAGATATTTAAACAAAACTATGTTAGCTTTACCTGGTTCAGAGAAAGTTTTTATAAGTTCCTCCATTGCCAACATCCAGGACACAGCCAAGTGACAGTTCTGAAGAAAAACCCAGTTTCCACTTTCCATGGCTCCAAGGATCATCTTCTCGGCTATAGGCCCTTGTCCCTGCCCCAGTGAAATGGACTCCACTCTAAACAGAGGTAGAGTAAAGTAAGTCAGTCAATCTGTTGTCCTTAGTGGGGCTGTTGTTATTATACTAATACTAATGTAGCACTTTTCGAGACATCCTCGCTCTTTGGCAAAGCGCTGGAAGGCCCCCATGGGGTCGGAGCCGGTGCTCAAGATGAACACCAGTGGGGTGCAGGGAGACATGTTGTTGTACAGGTTGGCCAGGTCCACCGGGGGGTTCTCCACGAACTGTTTCCCCAGATTAACGATCACAAACTCAGTTGCAGCAAACACAACCTGCAGGAGGGAGTTAGAGAAGGGGAAAAAAGACTGGTTTTACTTCACCTACTTGCATACTTATTGACTTAAGGTGGGTGTTTGATGCTGTAAAATTGTTTTAAAAATGACTTTCGATTAAAAAAAAGAAACAATGTGATTCTTATATAAAGAGAAGTGTCATTCTTTGGGTCCATACTTCTGAACATAAATTGTATTTAAAAAAAAATATTTTTCATTCTGCGATAATTACACCTCTATTTGAGGCATATTTGTGTGTGTATGTATACTTTAATATTTGTTTATCTTTACAGTCCTACTTGAATGTGTCTCAGGGAAAAATAGCTAATACCGTAAACATACTTAATAATAATAGTTCATGTGATGGATGTGCAGATTTACCTTCTCTTCCATCAAGCTCTTGATCAGGATTAATTTCTGAAAGGACCCCAGTCTTTCGTTCCAGTGTCCTCTAACCTCGCCCTGCTTTGTCTTTCCAGAGTCCTCTAGCCGCGGTAGATCTGTGACGTAGCCCTCCCAGGTTTCTGGATTAAGTGATGCCTGAAAACGCCCTAAAAAGACAAATGAAGTATGCCTAACAAACAAAATGCTTAAAAAACACAATGTAACTCCAAGTCAGTCAAATTTCTGGGATATCAGACTGTCCAGTTGGGAAGCCACACTTATTGTGAATACATTTCACCTGATGTTGTGGAAATTAAACAGACAACAGGTGGAAATGAGAGGCAATTAGCAAGATCACTCCATATGAGGAATGGTTTTGCCATTACCATTTCCCTGTCTTCATCCTTTGTACCCTATTTTTGGAACACTTTTGCATTTGTCCAGTGTTCTCACCACTAGAGGTATCATGAGGAGGCTTCTACAACCCACAGAAGTTGCTCAGGGAGTGATGCTCATCCAAAACGGCATGTCCATTCGTGCTGTGGCAAGAAGGTTTGCTGTGTCTCCCAGCGCAGTGTCCAGAGCATGGAGGAGAAACCAGGAGACAGGCCAGTACACCAGGAGACCTGGGGTGCCAACCGAGGTCAACAACCCAGCAGCAGGACCGCTATCTGCTCATTTGTGCACAAAGAAACAGCAGAAGCATTGCCCGAGCCCTACAAAATGACTCACAAATGTGCATGTTGGTACTCAAACAGTCAGAAACCGACTCCAAGAGGGTGGTATGAGGGCCCGATGTCCACAAGTTGGGCTGGTGCTTACTGCCCAACACCGTGCAGCCCGATTGGCATTTGCCCGAGAACACAGCGATTGGTAGATTGTCCAATGGTGCCCTGTGCTCTTCACGGATGAGCAGGTTCACCCTGGAGAACGTTCTGCTGCTTGCAACATCATCCAGCATGACCAGTTTGGTGGTGGGTCAGTGATGGTCTGGGGAGGCATTTCATTGGAGGGCCGCACAGCCCTCCATGGGCTGGCCAGAGGTTCCCTGACTAGCATTGGGTACCGGGATGAGATCCTCAGACCTATTGTAAGACCATATGCTGGTGCTGTGGGCCCTGGGTTCCTTCTGATGCATGATAATGCCAGGCCACGTGTGACAAGAGTGGGTCAGCAGTTCCTGCATGATGAAGGGATTGATGTTTTGGACTGGCCTACTCGTTCCCCAGACTTAAACCCAATAGAGCACATCTGGGACATCATGTCTTGGTCCATCCATCAATGCCACGTTGCACCACAGACTATCCAGGAGCTGACTGATGCTCTATTCCAGGTCTGGGAGGAGATCCTTCAGGAGGACCTCCGTGGTCTCATCAGGAGCATGCCCAGGCGTTGTAGGGAATGCATTCAGGCACGTGGAGGCCACAAACACTACTGGCAATGATAAAGACTAATTTTGAGGAATTTCTACAAAATTTGGATCAACCAGTTACCTCATTTGTCACTTTGATTTTGACTATAATTTTGGATTCAGACCTCCAGGGGCTGAGAATTTGATTTCCATTTATCATTCTTATGTTATTTTGTTCTCAACACACTATGAATAAAGATTTTCATCCAAATAATCAAATTGATTGACATCTAGGATGTGTTTTTTGAGTGTTCCCTAAGTTTTTGTGAGCAATGTATTCAAAAAGATCCATTTGTACATGCAACACGTGCAGCAGAGAAGATGTATAATGCATTGAATATGTTCAACCTAATTTGACCATCCACGATTCTAAGAGTGGAGCAGTTACCGAGTTTGATGCTGATGTGAGTCTTGGTAATGTCCTTGAAGATGCCCTTGAAACAGTTCAGGACGTGATGGAGCTGAATACAGGTCTTCCAGTAAAAATCACTCAGCCATGGAACATCAGGGCACTCCGGGTTTTCCTAAAGATGTTACACACAATTATGAAAAACATGGGAGTCATTTAAGGATGACACAGGGTTTTCTTCTGTAGAAATGGAAATATGTAGTGATCCACGAAGACACATTTAAAAATCATTAGAGTTTCTGCCTCTGACAGATGGATGACTGATGTATAGACTCTGGTGAGCAAATGACTTCTAAAGAAACAAGTGTGGTGGAGAAAAGTGACATTAGCATGTGGTACTTCAAGGCAAAATCTTTCCTCAAACTAATGTCACATAAATGAAAGCAAAATTGTGGCAAACTCAAGGGTATTCTTCCAGTGGGAGTGGGTAGACAGTACTACTTGCATTTCTCAACCTTCACAACGCATCAATAAAACCACAGCGCTATCTCAAAAGACCCTTAAATCTATGCTTTTTAAGTTTTTACCTAAAGCAAAGCCACATACTTCTCCTTTATAGACAGACAGAGGGCAGTGAATTCACACATTCAAAGGAAACCAATGAAATAAAGTGTTTTGAATTAGTCCTCTGGGTTAAATCAGGCTTCAATGACATTGAACCATCTGATATCGAGGTATTAGTATGCAACATGTGGGCTGCACCACAAACTGGAGAACTAAGATACTGTTTTTCATTGATTCTGTCAACCAACATATTTGCAAGGCCTTTTGAGCTTGTTTTAGGAGCTTATAAACAAGCTGCACCATTAAAGTGAACTTTATGCAAGGAAAGGGATACAGTATCTGAATTTATGTAATTACTGAGAGATTTGAGGGTAGGTGGGGGAACCGAGAAACTACAAGTGAAATGTTTGGACCGGTGTTAAGAGTCACAGCTAGAAAATAAATGCACATTAACTTTGATGTCACAATATACTGTACAGCATCTTCTGGTGGTTTAAAAATGGTTTGTTTGTAATCAACCAAAGCTATGTTTATCCAAAATATGTAACACAAATGTGATAATCAAAAACTAAGGAAGTAAGTAATGCAAATGAATGACAGTCCATTGTAAATGAAAGTTATACAACAATGTTTTGTGAAATCCAATGCACATAGTGTTTGCCAAAACTAATCTATTGTGTTTTGGATTGTAGAAGGGGGTCTACCCCTTCTACCTTTGAATTACTGTATATGCTTCGGAACTTCTGACACAAACAAGCATTTGTTTTTTTTACCATTTCTAATACAGTACTTTCACTGTAGCTTACCTGTTCCAGTGAGGCCCCTCCTCGAAGGAAGAATTGCCACTCCACCTCTGAGATCTCCCCTCTCTGTCTCATGACGCCAACACACAACATAAAGCTGTAGATAAGTTTGTGCTGTTCGAACAGGCCGCGGGACACATTGATGTAAGAATTGAGCAGGATTTGGTCCAGCAGGATCTGAAGACGCTCCTCCAACACACTACTCTTCTCCGATGTTTCGATTGTGGTGACAAACAGCTGAAGGTCGGAGAGAAAACGCACAAGGCATGGTATTGATGAAGAATGGACAAGCCCAAATGTGGAAACAAAGAAGAATAGCTATTGTAAATTATAATCATTTGCAGCCATTTCATGTTTGGGTCTACCTGTTTGAAGTACTTGAGTGAGAACTGGTACATTGGATCGATTTCAGAGAGACTTGCGACAACAAAATATAACACAGATCCACGTGTGGCTACGGGACGGTATCGTTCTCTAGCAGTGTTGATCATGACCTCTGTGGCCTCCGCTTCCTCAAGACGATGTTTTATAGCCTCAGACGTAACCTGAGATTAGGAAAAGACATTTTTGAGAAGATGACAGTATAACATAAACACTCATATGCACACATAATATAAACTAACTACCTTTGACTCCTGGAGAGTCTGGACAAGCTCTTCATTATCAAGTATATTTCCTTTAGATGTAAAAAGAAGCTTCAGTATGCGGTCCTCAATGTCTTTCAGCTGGTTACGGTCTTTGTTAATTCGAACAATGAGCTGATTTCTCTGCTCTTCCAGATGAGGACTCTCCAGGCGAACAACGTCACTAAACACAACATTAAAATAGAATGGAGAATTGGAGATTGTTGTTGTGTGATCCAGATATAAGGATTTGCTCACATACCTTAGAAGTTGATCTTCTAACCCAGACTTGGTCACAGTGAAATTAATAATAGTGACTTTGATGCACACCTGACAAATATAGATGAATATATTTTTAAATTTCATATTAAATGTTCTTATCTGTCGCAATGTCCCCATGTGAAGTGAATAAGTTAATGAGATGTGCGGGCCAGAAAAACAAGAGACAACATCATTACACCAGAGACAGGGTGGGATAAATACACTTCTGCATAAAGTACACAGTGGATACCTCAGGGAATGACTTTCCTCTCTACTCTGCATTCAGGAATCTAAAGCAAATGTTATCTATCAGGAATATTTGTGGGTCTTACTTCTGGAAGGTAATGTGGGTTAGCCATTTTTGTTGTCATGTAAAATCTGAAGTTTTTATCATAGTCAATATCTGAGTCTCCAAGTCGAATCAGAGTTCGTCCACCAGATACAAATGTCTGTTTTAGCAGAACAGGCTCCAGAGCAGGGTCCAAACTCTCGCTAATCTGTCGAGTCATCACAAATCTCAGTGTTAGTCACAAGGATTTGAATCTCTTTTATTTCTTAAAACCATAGTAATGAAAAAATATACCTCTTCCAACAGCACAGGAGAACCGAGGCGGATTGCATTTTCAAGGGTGCGAAGAAAATTTGGGTCAGTTAATTTGATCACTTTCAAACCATTTTTGCCCTCTTTGGAACGAATCCATCTGTTGGCCTTTGATAAATATAAATGGATGAAACCATGTGGATCAGAAAAAATGTTTTTCCCCAGAATGTGAAGCATTTGTACCTGGTCCTGTGGATCAATCATCAGAGGCCACCGGCGTCCTTGTGTCACCAGGATGGCGTTTTCTGTCGACACAGTGTCCCGAGGCAGACCTTCTGTGTTCCACTGACGAATCACATACGGGTCGCCCAGAATCTTAATCAGGCTGAAGTTAGAGCTGATGGGAATATTCAGTTCTTGGCACTGTTTGATCCACTGCTCAATTAACTAAAATAAAATGTGAAGTTTGTTAATTTCAATGGAATTATATGAGAGTTTTTATAGTATTTATTCTATTGGGTTAGGGTTAGGGTATGTTGACTTACCAACTGTCTATAATGGGAAGTAAATGCTCCATAGTAAGCCACACAGGCAGCAGCAATAAAAACATTTCCCACAATGTCAATGATTTCCTGTTCAAACTGGGCCACACTCTGGTCCCAACGAACCTGCTCGTCTGCAAGAGCAGATGTTAGCTTTCCTGCTCTGCTCAACCGGGCCTGAGTCAGCGCCATTGAGTTCACTAGGGACAAGAGAAAAAAATATTAAGCTTTCTATATCCAACCTGTCCAAACCCTCTTATGTAGAAAGACCCAGTTATGGACAAACGTGGAGAAGCTCTTACCCAGATCCTCCTTCTCTCTCTCACTGCTCTCAAACTGCTCTTGTAGGACACGGATCTTATTCTCAACTTCCATGAGTTTTTCCTGCTTTTCCCTCAGGGTTGCCATAGTCGCATCCAGCTCTTCCTATGTGAATTAGAGGAACCACTGTTATGTAATATATGGGATAGCTTGTCTAATCAGGTAATAACGGCTACAGAACGATGTGTATAATTACTAAAAATAGCACTAAAAGGGAAAAGATAGAATTGTGAAGACGTACTTGAGCTTTGGCCAGTTTTGCTCTTTTTGGGCCAACTTCTTTCAGAACTCTGCTGTAGAGATCCATTGCTCTGACCCACATACACATCGATTTGCAGGCCTTGGAAACTTTCTCAACCTTTGAACGAACAAGCAATACAAATAACACAAACAATATCCTCGGCATTCCCCATGTGTGATTTTCAAACAGACCTTTTCAGGAATGAAATCTGGATTGTTGACATATTTCTGTAGCTTTTGTAGAATCTGCGGCTTGATATTGCCTTTGTCATAGTCAGTCAGACGGCGGAGGAAGTTTGAATCTCCGAGTACTTGCTTAGCACTCAGCCAATCTGGTCTGCAGAGAAAGTTATAATAAAGGAGATTACATGTAGGGAAAGTGGTCACGCTATTTACACTGTGAACATATAATTTTAATTAAATACTAGTAGAAAGGTATAATAATAATATCCAAGTTCAACACACATGCATTTTTGAGATAACTTCCCTTTTCTAACTCTGATTGAAACACAAGACTGCAGTGTGGACTTATTGAGATGAGAGGTAGAGGCATAAACCATAATATGGTAATAAACAGGATGCTGACAATACAGGGATGATGTATTATAAAAATGTCACTCTGACAAAGCTGCATCTTCTCCTGACGTAATCACTCACAATTACAATCACTCACTTGCAGCCAAGTAGGATACAGACAGCCTCCATGACGGTCATGACCAGGTCTGGCGGCTTGGTGAACACTTTGATCTCAGAGATATCTGCCTTATCCAGGGATCTGAGAGCCTGATTGGCTCCCTCCAGAGCAGGCAGAGCCTCATCCAGGTCCCTTTGAGCATCATCAGCAATGGCCTGAGTTTCTTCGGCCTGGGACTGAGCTAGAGCCTCATCTTCTTTCACAACTTTACGGACCTTTGGATGTCAAAACCTCAACATAAGCAACACAAATGCAAATGACAAAAACATAATCACTGAAGAATCTTTTCACTTACCTCGTCAGCTTTCTCCTGGTCAACAAATAGTTTCTTCATCAGAGCGTCAACATCAATTGACTTTTGTTGAAGAATTGGCTCCAATAGTGACAAGTCGACCTTCATTTTGTCCACCAGCTTATTGGTCTCAAGAAGCTTAGTCAGCCCATTCTTTACACGGTCCCTTGCCTTTTAATGAACAAAGTAAAGAAATGTACTAATATGTTTAAAGGTCAAACCAAGATATACACTTACAAGGACTAACTGTTTCTTCTGTGTCCCTAGCATGGACAGGTACAAGTTTATGAGCTCCAGGTATGAAGTAGGTGTAGTGTAATATCTGCGTCTCAGCTCAGAGTAGAAGCGCTCAGCCATGTCGGACACACTGACATGTATCTCCACACACATAGTGGAGAAGCTCTGTTTCAGAAGCTCGCTACCGAGGTCTATGTTCTGGAAGAAGGCCTGAGAGACAGAGAGCAGAGCCTCTCGTGGCCACTAGAGGAAAAAAAAGCAAAATATTGTATGTACGGTGTGTGCTATGAAATAACCAATTTTTGATAAATGTGGCCATACCTCAATAAACCAGTCAATAGTGCAGCAGTTCACAAGTGAGGGAAACATCCGGCACCGTGATCTGAAGGCGTCGCCAACAGGGCTCATGCACAGAACGATGTGCAGCTTCTCACGCACACGAGCAATGAAGAATTGGAAGACCTTAAGCAAAAATCAATGAACATAAATATAGTATAAAACTTTGTATGCGTTTTACACCATTTCACCCAATGCTGTATTGTTTGGACTTGTTTTGGGGTTTTTTCACATTGTGCTTGTACCTCATCTCGATTCTCTTCATTTAATCCAGCCTTCTTTGCTTTTGGGCGCGTCGCTGCCAGGACTTGTTCCAATTCATCCTTCTCAAAAAGATTGGGCACTTCACCAGAATTTAGCATGTTGTTGATGTCCTCTAAAAACCCTTCCACCACAATCTGCAGTAGGAAATAATTAACTGTAAGATCTATTGGAATATTTTGGATATCTGCCTTTACAAGCGTTTACATTTGTACCTGAGTATCAGTAAAGAGAAACACCATATCTTTGTCTTCCACACCAGCCATTTTGTACAGTCTCCTCAGGTCTTCATGGAAGCTCTCATAGCTGTAGCCTCGGGTCAGCTCGATTTCAAAGCACCGATAGCCACACATGTGAGAAGCTAGTCGGGTAAGAGACTGTTTTCCTGTACCTCCCACCCCCACAAGGAGTGCATTTCCTCTCTCTTGGCGAATCACGCGGGCAATTCTGGAAAAGAAATAAGCTTAACTCAATATAAAATTGTTGATGAATGAATGATCACTGACTATCAAAAATATAACACAACATTTACTTATAAACTCAGCCATACCTGGAAACATGTTCCACAGCATCTTGGAAAAACACCAGCCGGTTCTCTTTTGAAAAGGTCACATTGTAGTCATCCAGGTAGTCCTGCAGAACGTTCTGAATCTTCTTTATGTCTGTTAGATCTTCATACACACGGTCCTCTTTCTCTGCATCCATCTACGCATCCTTGTTTTAATAGCTTGCAAGAATTGTAGTTCAATGTAATGGCATATTAAAACTTACCTTCATAAAGTCCCCAAATATAATTGGATTTGTCACAAAGCTTTCAGGCTCTATGATGGTGTCAAAAAATCTACCTGGAACGTGTGGAAAAAGCACATAATTGCGATAATGCTTTTTAACGTACACAATGATAATATGTTTCTGATCTTCACATACTGGCCATGTCACAGATGATGGAATTGAAATAAGCCTTGTCTTGGTTGTTGATGAGACGGTCATGAAACACTCGCTGGCATTCATGACAGAAAAGCCGAAAGATCTCGTTCTTTGTTCTCACTTGACCAGAATCACATTGTAAAATACCTGTATGTATGAAAAACAGTAACGGTAAATTAAAATAGTTACAATAAATCATATGAAAAAATTAAAAATAAACATTGTTTACTATGAGACAAGTCTTTATATTTAATCAAAAACTTTTTTTGGTCACACTAATTAGTTTAGCCCTCACTAATTAACAGCAAATGAAGCGCTAATTTGTGTATAATTTATGGTTAATTATCTCTTAATTGATATTTATGAAGCACTTATTCTGCATGGCCTTATTCAACATAGAACTAACTACTATCTAATTTTTTATATTAAATAAATGAAATACAAACACACCAACATTTTCGTTAGTGGGGCAGAGAGAACAGGGGCCAGATGACTGAATTGTTTCGAGATGGATGGAAACTAATTGAATCTGCCCTATATCTAGATACTAATGCAGATACCTTAACCCTATTAATTATCATTATTCCTATTTTACATCTTATTGAACATTAAATGGCAAGTATACTTTACTTTATACTTTGTAAATGACATCTATGCTTAACAGTTGTATTTTTTTCTCTGCAGAGACCTATGGTTCCCATGGGCCTCTAACTGTGTCTTTGAAGAAGTCAAGCGTTTTCGGCAACTCACCTTGAACACACTTAGAGAGGTCTCTGAGATTGAAGACATAGTGGGACTTTGCTGGAGTGGGGAGCAAATCCAAACTCAGACGATTATAGATCTCCACAGACGCATCCACAATGTGAGAGGAGCAGGACTTTACTTCCTCATTGAAGTCTGTGAGGAAACCATTTAGGATAGCCTGGAGCGAGCAGAGGGCAGAGGCAGTAAAAGAAAAAAAAACATGGATTGTAAGGTTGAGGTTGAAAAAAATTTGTACAGTAAACCAATAGATTAATTGATAGATGTTGCTTTGACCTTGAAGATTTGTTTGAGGCTCTGATCCGATGGAGTGGGCAAACACAGCATACTGAAATGGCGAATAAACCGAGGAGTCACTGGGTTGCGGCCCCCTCCAGGAGGAGCGCATGCAGCTGCAATTGTCATGTCCTTGCAAACAAACACAAGATATTAATAAAAAGGTGTATGTGTTACTTGGGCTGTAGGGGTTTGGTATAAAAACATCACAATAATCTGGCCAGAAAAAAAGATTATACCTGTATCTCCTTCCAATAGAATTTTCCTCTGTCATAAAATCCAGAAAAGTCTTGGAACTGACGAAGGAGTTCGATGGGTGGCTGCGAGCCATAGCTGTCCAGCTTAGGCATGTTCAAGTCGTCGACAAAGACCACTAATTTTTTATTACCAGGGGCACCTTTTCAAAACAAAACACCTTATAACTTGTATCATAGTACAAAGCAACCGAAAAAGTAAAACAAATCTGAAAATAATATATTAATAATAAATAATTGTTGTATCTTTATCTTATTCATTTACCAAGAACACTTTTTTTCTTTTTTTCTAGTTTAGACTCAATGATTTCTTGTGTGCGTGCAGAAGAAGTCTGAGCAGAAAAGTTTATGAAGATTGGGAGATATCCTTCTTTTTCTTGGATCCTGTTCAGTAGCTCTCTGGCAACAACTGACTAAAAAACACAACATATTGATCATGTGATTCACAGTCAATAAACCATTACTTGCATACATACCTTCCCCACTCCAGTGTCACCAGTGAAAAGTACAGAGCGTTGGACAGAAAGTAATTTCTCCATCAAATAGCCATAACGCACAGTGTCTGTTGTTGGGACCAGCATCTCAAAAAATGGCTGTTCACTGTTGTATTTAAAATCAGGAATGATCTTGTCCCATGGTTGCAGACGGATGGTCTTAAAGTTCATGTATACATTCCAGAGAATATGATCTGGAATCTGGAATGTATAATGTTCATATACAATCATAGCATTATCCAATAGCAAACACAATACATGGAAAAGTGTTATTTTGTAAAATCATTACACAAAACTTTACTTTTTTCCCCTCAATACTTTCCAATCATAAATTAGAATCATAAATGAGTGAAATCTAGTTATTCTATCTATTCTATCTCTAAATAGAAAAGGAAGAGATCTTATTCCCAGACAGGGAATAGGAACACATGTTTTTTTTCTATTAACTTTTAGAACAAGAGTGCAAACTACATACTGTTCCTTTAATATACTGTATGCAAATAGTTCATGTGTGTACCTCAGCATCTAGGTTTCCCGCAAACTGCTCCTTTACAAAGGCGTCAAAGGAATCCCAGTATGTGCTGGTCACATTACCTCCAACAGACCAAAGATAGCAGAAGATGAAAGTCTGGCAAAGAACCCTGTTTAGGTCGCGCACATCCTAAATGCAGAACAAAAGATTTAGTTTCATTATGAAATAAAAGGAAGACAAAGGATAGGCTATAGTATGTATACCATATTAAATCCAGGTCCTTCCGGGCCAAGTAGCAACACTTCCAGTAAAGCGCACAGGGTAGTAACTTTACTTATATCCACTTGGCGGATTGCCTGAAAATAATTCTTTGAGACAAACTCAAGACCCTTATCCACATAGCTTTCAAACAACTCCAAGAGATATTTACTAACTGGCTCTGGGAACTGGAAAGAAAAAAATAAAGAGGTAAAAAGGTTGCTTTGCTATGTGTTAAAGCTAAAACTGTTGAGAATATAAACACTAACAAAAGAAGTAGTGAATAACCTTGTCTCCAAGAACACTGATCCATGTCTGAACATAAGGCATCCATTTCAGTTCATTTGGATCAATGTAAACCATTCCACATCGACTGACAGTTGCTGGAGACGCCACTGCAAGATCTTGAACCTACAAACCCAGTTAAAAGCAGCGACAGTTCTCAATCTGAACAAAACTGTGAACAATAAGATAAGATACATCAGTAAACTATATATGTCTATGCTGACCTCAAACACCATGTGGATGGACGGGGTGAGTTTGATTCGTTCGCTGTTTGCCAGACAGAGCATCTTATTGTCATCCAGCACAGTGTTCATGTTTTCAATCCACAGGGCATCCACCGGGCCATCACACACGACCCATTTGTGATCATCAGTCGTGTCGCTAACGGCCTCACGCACACTCAACGCCATCAATCCATCAATCCATTCTAGAGTCAACTTGTTCACCTATTAAGACAGAAACAATATATTCCCGCACAATAGACAATGTTAAGCCAGCTTGTTTTCTAAACTACATTGAAATACTGTGTGTGAAATCTATGATACAAATGAAAAAGGCATTCTAAAATCAGATATTAAAGTGAGCCATACCTCGCCATAAAGTTCTCCCATTGTCACTGATTTGGGGTTGAGAACATATTTCTTGACTGGCTGGTAGAATGGGTTTGTTTCTTTATAATCAGAGTTATAAAGGGTCTCTAATGTGTCAGCAAGAATGGTGTAGACAGTAGTTTTCCCGCCTCCAGTTGGCCCAACTAACATAACTCCATGACGTACTAGCATAGTCTCGTACAGCTGGATAACCTGGAGAAAATTTGTATGAACTTTTTGTAGAAAAAAAAATGCAGCAGAAGAACAAAGTTAATAGCAATTGATACATTTTACCTTGTTGGTCATGGTAGGCAGAGGCTGTAGGTTGCGCTTAACCAGTGACTCTAGAATAGTAGTTTGTAGCACACCGTAGTCATGCTCAGGGATAGAAACCCCAGGAAACAGGTCAGACAAGATCCCACTAGAAGATTACATATGTCACGAAATGAGATATACTGAAATGAGCAAAATTACCATTTTACATTTACTGGTATATGCAAATCACACTAATGCCTATACCACAAACAGTATATGCAATATCCTTACCCGAACAAGACAGCATCATCGGTGAGAAACTTTGGGAGGTTAGAGTCCCGCAAGGCTCGGATAAGTACCACATCTTCACTAAGGTGGGGGTTAGTCCTCTTCAATGATCTATCACAGAGAATAGATAACACATGAGCTAAGTGTAATAGGTTGTGTTCATGTTGTAGAATTTGATTTCAGTTGGAAGGCAGGTACCAGTTCAACTCTATAGTAAAAGGAGTTTTAGAAAGAAATTACAACAAAAACATGCCCACATATTCCCCGGATCATAATTTGTTAGTGATTAGATTCACAAACCTGCCTTATTATTCTTATGTCTGAAAGTATGTTTTACTGGTCGACAAAATGTAAATGTTTTTGAATATTGTCACCTTTATGATAAAAATATGTACTGACAAATAAGATGTGTAACAGTTTTGTTTTACGTGGACTGGCCCAGAAATGACAAAATAAGAAAACGACAATAAATACTAGAAGTCTGAAAACTTTAGGCTCTTGGGAAATGTTATGTAACTTTATTAAGACAAAGACTGTGGCACATTTTGACCGAAATGCAACAATACTTCTTGCCCAATCCTTTCTTCATATTGGGTTAAAAAAAGAGCCACATGGATGCAAGCTTAGTATGGGAGAAACAAAGAGCTGAGGGTGAGCATTTACACACAATGAACCCCGAGTCAATTACAGACAGCGTGAGCTAATAACAAACATTTGAACACATGATGCTCTCTACTTTAGGCGGAGGTGGGTCGATTTAAAATGAGTTTAAAAACCATCAAGAATAGCAGCGATTGAGTTTACTCCCCTTGTCTAGAAGTGTTTGTGTAATTTGTCATTGATTATTACACAGCTCAGAGTAAATCATCAAAGGTTTTAATGTGTCCCCAATCAATACTAGTTAACAGAATTGCTTAGATTTTCATAGGCCTATTATGCCGTGTCACTCTACTTTGTCCAGGGATTTCTTATTAGACTGTTTCTCAACTACAGTTATTTGGATTCCATACCCATATAATTAGAGGTCTCTGGAATATATTTCATTTAACTTAACTTTTTTAAGTAATAACAATTGTAAACTGCTTTGAGACTCCGATGTGCAGTGAAAAGGCGGTATATAAATAAAGATTACTTACTTACTACTTACTTACTTTAAGTATAATTTAAACATTGATTTTAATAAAAGGGAGACATGAGTTATGTGATAAGATAAACTTTTCACCATTATCCACCATTATCACCTTATCACCATCAACTCATCATTCATCTAGTATTGTTGTCATTTCCCATATTTTTGAGGTTAATAGATAATAAAATAATAATATCCACAAGTTAAACTATGATTATTAAGCAACAATAGTGGTAATATTCCAAAACTAGTGTCTACAAATATGTGTGTTTTTCATGTTTGCATTTCTCACCCAGCCATCACCAGCACAGACTTGACAGCTCTCATGCCAAAATCATAGTGGTCCTGTTGTGACAATTGCTCTGAGCAAAGCTTGTACATCTGGGTCATTTTTCTTGCTAATGTCTTACTTGATTCAAATCCTTCCGAGTACAAAATCACCTTAAGCAAGAAATATAGTCTTATATATAAGGAGATGCAAAAATACACTTCAATTGTTAAAGAAAGCATTACCTCTGCAATAAGAGCATAATTTGGCACCATCATAGCAATAGGTCTGAACAGAGCCTTCAGATTGTCGGGCAGTTCTGTTCTGCCAGCATAGCCAGGATTCATAGTAATGAATGCAGCGCAGGTCATCACTAGTTTGATCTCTCTTCCTTCAAATTTAAACCTTGATAGCTGCAAAAAAAAAAAACAGATTATATAATGTTCATAAATAATTCTATCTTTGAATCTTAATAAAATGTAAGCCGGTTTTTTTCTGTAACAGATGCCTTCAAGTGTACAGTATGTATTAGCTTACCTTTGCAGCTTTTGCATTTCGAATAGTGATCAGCTGTTGAGCAATCACAGATAAGACTTCAATGTCAATCCGATTAAACTCATCAAAGCAACACCAGGCTCCAGATTGAGCAAGACCACTGAAAAAGCGGCCCATCATCTGAAAGATACATATTTTAATGACTCAAATGTAGAATATTAAAGAGCTGTATTATAATTAAATATAGAACACTGAATGATCAGTAAAGTCATTGTTTTGAACAGAAAGTACACTATTTTGACTTATATAATACTGCCACCTTGTGTCAATGATAAATTCTGCATCTGTGTGTTAATTTAAAAAAGAGGGAAAAGGATTGTGTGTCCAAGTGACATGCAGGTGTCCATACAAAAGAGTTTGTCTGACCTTGTAGTCCAATCCATCTGAACAATTGAAGACCACACACTGAATTCCTAAGGCCTTGGCTAGATCCTTGGTTGTTTCTGTCTTTCCTGTCCCAGCTGGCCCTGCTGGGGCCCCTCCAAGGTCTAATTGCAAAGCCCCCATTAGACATAAATAACACCGATCCTGTGCAAAAAACAAAAAACTTTACATTTAAATATATATATACAAACTTATAATATATAAAAAATCAACAAAAAGATTATACTGTGAGTGGTGTAATCACAAGCCTTGGACAGGCTCCCAGATATTCATAGCCATAAATATAGGTGGACAAAGCCATAGTGGCAACACAATTGTCCAGATCCATGTCCCAATAGTATCGTAGCTGTCTCTGCCACTCAAAGTTTGTCCTGTCGTCCACCTGTAAGAATTATATATATGAAACACATAAAAACAATAATTCATTTAAGTATTAGGTAAAATATTCATAATATTATTTTAAATTATTATATGATTATATAATTTGTATGCACGTAATGATTCATACATACGTATCAAACCTCATTGAGTTGAGTTCACATTCAGTAATGTCCCCACACACAAATTCAGACACATAATGAACACAAGTTGTAATTTGTACCTTCTGTCGGACGAGATCTGTGACAATATCTCTGGCATGGACATCAATGGTGATAAGGGCAGTGATTATATTCCGATGTAAAGAAGGTAGGTGCCCCCGCACTAAAGCTGCCAAAGCATTCAGTCTCTGGAATTAATGTTGAAATAATGAATTAATTATTAATAATAATAATTAATGAATAAATGATCGAATGAATGAATGAATGAATACAACTTAATAATGGAGAGACACACATCAAAGTTTGTTTGTTCAAACTGCTGTAATGCAGCAAAGTGGTCATGGTCCCCTTCAAGACAGGCGTCCATATCTCTGCACCACATCAACTGAGAGATCGTCAGCACCACCTATTGGTCAAAACGCAAAGTGAAATACAATTGGTTATTTGCAGAAGAAAAATTGTGCTTTTAGGTGTATTTTGTTTCATTGTAAACCACATATGCAATATTTTTTCCTCCTTCCAAGTGTAACAGCACAATTGAGACAATCTCTTGTGTTGCTTCACCTGTGACGGATGCCCGGCCACGACCCATTCCTCTCTGGACTTGACCTGATAATCTGCAATGGCTGCTTTACTGAGGCGACGCAGTGATGCAAACATGGCCTCCTCGACCTTACAAAGCCAATACTCTACATTCCCTTGCGCCTTAAGACCTTTTGTCAATGACACCTGTAAAAAAACACAAATGAATGTAGACATGTACAGATAACAAATAAACTGCTACACCTTTGCGCTGACTGACCTTTTCACCTTCTGGAGAGACAATTTTTAGGATGTCTTTACTATAGATTGTGTCTTGTTCAAGATCAACATCGCCTCCTGTAGCTTCTTTGGGCTTTTCAGGTAACAGGGCAAACTCTAGATGTGCAATGGAATCGAAACATTTTCGAAGATGGGGCTGCACTGCCTGAGGATTTCTCGTCTGTGCCAAAATCTTAAGCAGCTCATCATTAGATAAGAAATAAAACCTGACACAAAAACAAAACAAATACAGTGAAACATGGAGGTCAAAAGTCACTGCCATTCAATCTGCTCTTGTTCCAGAAGAAAAACTCCCATTCACAAAAAATACAGTATTAGAAGTCTAGCTACGTGGAAACCGTTATACACAGCACAGTTGCGATTGTGTTTTTTCGCAAGCCGATTTAGAATAAATGTTTTCTCATTTTTCACTATAGTTCATATTCGGTGTGATTATAGGATTTTTTCTTCTGGAAGTGTGAATTATTAACTTGGCTGTACCTTGGGAAAATGACTCTTTTAGACTCAAGATAGGCCTCAAGACATTTGTGGATCTCATCCAAAAGAGCATTGTTATTTCTAAAAGTCTCCAACAGATCTTTTGAGGGAAAAACAAATCAAAGCTGTAACCTTTTGAACTTTATTTTCATGCAGAGTTACTTACTTGGCTGAGTGGCAGCTGTAAGGGCATTCGGGTTCCGTTTTACACTTGACATGATACTCTTCCATGACTTGTCCACTTTGAGAAACATCTTAGATTCTGCAGGAAGCTGGCTTTTTATGTCTGGGTCTAAAAATATACTCTCCAGATACAGCCAATTACGTTGACATGTAAGCCATTCGTCCTGAAATAATAGTAATACATGGAAAAACAACCAGTTATACAATGCACAGTACAAATGAGATGTGGGTTTGCATGAACATGATATAACGCTCTTTAATTGACGCTCTCTTAGACTGGCATTAGAGCAATATGACTGCAAGTCCAGGAGAAACTGAGATACTTTGGAAAAAGAAATATGCTATATTTATCACTGCTGTGCACAGATGTAACAGACTGACCACCCAAATAAAAACATTTCTAAATGCGCAGAACAAGCTGTCCTTTCAGTGAACATCTGTCACTAATGTGTGTACAAAACTTGCTTAAAACAATAAGTTACACTTCAATAAAAACAGTGATTTTTTACCAGAGTTTGATTGAAAAGTTGCAATTGTCTCAACAGCTCATCCACCCTGGGCTTGATGCAGGTTACATAACGCGATGATGCAACTGTTCCAACATTTATTATACTGTCATCCAAGATCACCTTTAAAATACAAAAAATAGTCATAGAAGATCCATTTGTTCAGCCTTTTTAATTATATTAAAGACAGTACCTGAATTTCATCAGTTCCACCCAAGATAAACACATTTTTGGAGTCACCATGAGGCAGAACTATGAATTCTGTCGTTTTCCAAATATTCTCAACCTGTGTGTATATTAAATTTTAAATCATATGTCATGTCAAATTATTGGCAGAAAATGTTTACCTTCTTAATTAGGGTCCCCACAGCGGCTTCCCCTGATGCTTGCCCTGAGATCTGGAAAAAAACAAGAATGGGACTGCATGCCTTTGTGTGATCACAGAAAAGGTCATGTGTACCTCTTGTATCTCTGGCCCATAGTTGAAAAGATCCAGCTCATCTAACTGACCAACAGTAAGTTTCTCCAGATCCAAATGTTGTCCAACCATATGTCCGAGAGTTTTCCAATGATCGGGTTTTATACATGGATTGCGAAGATCAGTAATAACTGGAAGCTAATGTACAAGGTATTGTTAGATGTTATGTTAGCTTTTGATTTTTGCTGCATTTCCTACTCACCCTGGACTTCATTACTTCTACTTTCTCCTTAAAACTGGGGACTAAATTGTTACGTGGCAACCCCTTCTCCAGTTGGTTTGCATATTTAGCATATTTAGTAACCTGTGCTGCTAACTGTTCCAAGTCCAGCTCTAAGAGCAAATTCTGCATATAGAGAGTGAAGAGATTAAAAAATTGATCTAATAAACAACAATAAGTAAATATAGGTTTAAATGCAATAATAAGCATGGTGAATATACAGCAAAGTCCTGCAATGATCATCATTTACCTGTTTCAATCGCTCTTGTAAACTGTCCCATTCCTCCAAAGAGTCCCACAACAGCTGCTTCAGCCGAACATCTGTCGTCAACTTGTCCAAAGAGTGACATTTCACCTCCACCTTTTGTCATACATACAGGAGAAATCAGTTTTAATAAAATGGCTTGGAGGAGATGAAAACATAATAAGTTTTACATTAAATCTTTTCTGATAGGACATATATGTGGCTGCTTGGGAGCGGAGCTCATCAACAGAAATCTGGATTTCACCCAGAAGCAGTCGCACTTTGGCAGGGTCAGCGTTGATATCCACAATTTGTTTGTCCTGTTTATAACACAAATGTATCAGTTAATGCACAATTATTATCGAACCATTACTTATATTATTAAGTTATTGTAATTAGGCCAACCTGTGTTTTGTGGTCAAGTGTCATGACTTCCTGTTTCAGTTTAGTCATATCTTTCTTTAATGAACTAATGAATCTATCGGTTATGTCCTTTTTAGCCAAAGATGCATGGTAGATGTTCCCTTCCAATGAGGTTAAAGAAGGTTTTAATGATGTAAACACAAAGCGATCTTCGGGTGGTGTTGGGATAGAATACATTCCAATCAAATTGTACAGCTGACCGATTGCATCTTCTTCTTCTGATAGTCCCTCGATCTGGTGATGGGCAAAATCAGAATGGCTGTTCTAATTACATATTGAGGAAGTTAATTTACTTACTCTGTCTTCTATTTGATCCAAGAAAATAAGGTAGTTGGCCAACTCAGCAGTGGTAGAAGGACTAAATCCCAGCTTTACTTGGGCATCAATAGTCTCTTCAAGGACAGCATCTACTTTGCTCTTAGCGAGCCGGGTCAGGATATCATTGATGACCTAAAGGAAGAAGAATAGTTGTAAGAAGTTGTCAGAAGTTTGTTTTAAAGTTTGTGATTACTATGATAACAAACCTCTAAACATTCAAGAGGGGACTGCACAAGTTTCTGTTCAAGCTCCGTTTGATCAATTAGAAGTAAGCCAAGACTCCTTTTTTGTGGGATTATGATGGCTTCTTTGTGCTGTTTGTGATAGAGGGCTAATGCCTTTTCAAAAAACAGCAAAACTAAAAGGACACCATCTTGTCAGACAGTTTTGTAAATAGTGATTATTCTGATTATTCTGTATTTTACCATGTTTTTTTTGACGTAATCCTTGAGCATCGAAGTTCTGGTTTTCTTTATAGAACGTCCGAAGGTGCTCAAATGTGTGTGCGTACATAGTTGCTGTATCAAAAGCAACATGAATGACTTTCTAAAAAAAACAGAAAAATATGATTATGTCAACATTCCTGAACACTACAAAGAGATAATTTACCTTAATTTCTGACAAGACGAGTTGAAGTTGGCTATCATTGTCCAGAAGAACTTCAAGACAGTGCGGCTTTGTTGTTCTGTTGTTCTGATCCTAAAAATACCAATAATTGTCAATAAACGGACATGAATACAAATATAGATTAGTTTCATGTAGAAAATCAACCTCTTTTTCTTCTTCTTCTTCAATGGAGCTTGTGAACTCATCCATGTCTTCATCAAACATAAGAGAATTCACAGATAGTACGGTCTCTTTAAACTTTTCCATCAGCTCTTCCAATGCACACTTTTAAAGAGTTCAAAGGGAGATCATTACACATGGGTGGTAATCATAATATATAATTATGTATATAACAACAATTACTTCAAACTCATCTTCTGGTGGTAAATAATACAATTCATCCACTGAAAGCTTGAGCTCAGTGACAAAGGTCGGGTGGTCTTTGACAGCGTTAACAGCCTAATGAAGATCAAGAGGATATTGCTTGGGTATCGACCAATTCAAGGTGAATATTAGGTGAATATTGGTTACACACATTTTTATCTTTATTGTCATCAACTGCAGGCTCAGGTGCATCATCAGCCAGAGTGTTCCAGTTTTGTATTTGTGATGAATCTGGAGTTTTAGCAACTTGCTCCTGAAATAGTGTGAGTATTTTGTCCATTCCATGCAGCACTAACATGTGTAGTGTGTTGGAAATGATAAGATCAATGAGATGGATAAAACTGCACATAGAAAGACAAAGAACAACACTTTAAAAAACAGAACACTGCAAAACCGTGTTTAACAATTTAGAAAAGAAAATGGCAAAGTATGAAAACTGTCCATATGTCACCTTCGTAATCGAGCTCCAAGCAAAAACTGCTCTTTCTTGAAGTGTTCTTCTTCTGCAAAAGACAATAGATGTGATATTGTATATGATGTTTATATTCATGTAAGCTTTCTGTTTTTACACACCAGATTCATGACAAGTCTTCAAATGCAGAAAACAGTCTTGACAAGCGCTTTTGACCAAATCCTTCACTAATACATGGAAATTATCCAAATCACTGCGCACCTTTAAAAAAAAACAAGCATTGCTGAAGACATCATTACTTTTGAAGTAGATATTTGGATTTCACCTCCAGTAGTTGTTCTGACTGAAAATGCTGAAACTCTTTCAAAGAGTAAGTCTGATTTCTTTCCACGTGAAACAAGCCCGTGCGACCAATTTGGATGCATAGTTTCCTGACGTCAAGAAGAGTTGGGCCAAGGCGCTACATCATTATACAAAATAATATTGGTAAAGCAAATGTAACTAGTTCATTAGACATGTGTAAATCAATTACAAACCTGATCAGCAAAGAATAAATTGTGTCTCAGATTTTCTTGAGCCAAATGCATCTTCTTGTCAATTACTTTGCGGCGCCAGGAGAAGAATAGCTTTATCAATTTGAATTTGGCGAAGAAGGGAATTTGGATCAACTTGCTATACATGTTGTATTCATGGTTCCAGCGTTCAAGAGATGTTGAGTCAATTTTATCTTTACACACAGTCAATACACCCTCGTGGGTGATTATCAAGTACTCGTCTTCGCTGTAGACATGCATAATAGATTCAGAGGAAGGGTCCATTTTTCCAATGGGAAATGGCCGTCTTGGGGGTGGAGGACCTGATCCAATTTTACTGGATTTCTGAATAGTAAAAGTTTGCACTGTATTAATTAAATCTTGCATTGATAATAGATACTATGAATTTTCTGACATTCCTGACCTTAGATGACCCAATTGGAGGAAGTCGTGTTGGAGGTCGTAAAGATGCTATTCGATGTTTTGAGCTTTTGGGTTTTTGAGGAGGCTCTGTTTGGCACATACAAAAAATAATAATATGAGGGAGCAGTATTTTACAATAAACAAAAAGAGTAAGGAGCTTTGATGAATACCTGGGATCTCAAAAGACACAGAGCGCTGAGTCTGTGATGCCCCTGTCCCCTGAGCTGTTGCCACGGGTGGAAGAGTGTGGGACCCCCCTGGAGCAGATCTCGAGGCCCCACTTTTTGGGTAGAGAAGTTGTAATCTATGCTCCCTTTCTTCCAGCTTCCGGAGCCGTTCCCGCTCTCGTGCCATGACCTCTTCTCGTTCTCGTGCTTCTTGTTTAGGCCCTTTGCCGTTCCATCCAGGAACATACATTTTCCTCAGAATTTCTTCATGACTAATGCCCTGCTTCATCCCAGGCTTCATGACAGGAAGAGGCATAATTTCAGGACCTTGAATAAAACTTGCATGAAGTATTTCAATCCTGGGGAAAAGAATATTCTTTATACGTCTGGCACTTACAAGATGATTTAGGAATGTGGCGTTGATTACCTTATATACAATCAAACTTTTAGTCACAGGTATTTATACAGTCATAATTGGAACATTGTTGAGGTTTTATAAGAATTGGAGTACATTGCATTATAAAATGTATATTCCACAATCAGATTAGGTTTAGGGACAGTTACTTTAGTCATGGCTAACCCCTTGGAAAAGTCAACTTAATTGTGTCGTATGTGTTTACCTCGTAGTAATACAATTATTGCTCTTAACATATGTTTTTTTTTTTTTGTAATATCGCAGCTTCTCTAATAAGACATAAACATTGTCAAAAGCTGCATTTGAATCCTCTGCTTGAGAAGCAGATATGTGAGTTTGATACTGGTAAAATGCCGGGATTGGTAAAAGTAGAGAGTATAGTCGTGGTTAAGTTAAAGGTATACAGGAGGATTTTTTACTTCCGGGTGGATCATCAAGACTATTGGTTCTCCCAATGATAAATTATTCTGGTGATACTGTTACACCACTCTGACAACTTGGTGTGGAAAAATGAGCTCTTTAATGTCTCCGGAGAACACAACAGGAAAAAACGGCACAAACAGACAGCAGCTGATCAGAATGACAAGTCCTTCAGTACAACCGCTTTTTTCAAAAAACGCGCTGATGTAACCTAATTCAACACAATACCGTTACATTAACTGTTTCTATGTATTTAAACAAGGACAATTATTTCTGCAATATTCAAGAAAGTGTACACACTTATTCTAAGTGTGGCACGGTGGCTGAGTGGTTAGCACTCTCGCTTCTCAGCAAGAAGGTCCTGGGTTCAAATCCCTTTCTAAGTGGAGTTTGCATGTCGGGTCTCTGCACTGGCTTCCTGTGGCTCAGAGAATAGACTTTAAAGTAGCTTTACTTGTGTACAAGTCTGTCCATGGCCTCGCACCAGGGTACATCCGCGACATGTTGGTGCCATATGAACCAACTCGGGCTCTGAGGAGCACAGGGACTGGACTTCTGTTAGTGCCAAGAGTCGGAACTAGACATGGGGAGGCTGCGCTTCAGATTCATGCAGCTAGAGTCAGGAACCGTCTTCCCGAGAATGTGAGACAGGCGTCTACTCTAGCAGTTTTTAAAACTGAACTGAAAACAGTTCTTTTTAGCTGTGCATACAAGTGAATTATTTTATATTTGTTTTTATCTTTAATCTTTTTAATGCGCTATGACTATTTATGATTGTAATCCCTTGTGTGATTTTAATGTTTTATGGTTTTTAACTACTTGTGTGATTTTATATATCTTGTGCTCTTAATCTGTCTTTTTATGTTTACTTAAATTCTAATGTTTGATGATTTATGCATGATGTTGTATGGGTTGTGAGGCGCTTTGCGTTGCCATGTGTAGGAAAGGCGCTCTACAAATAAACGTTGATTGATTGATTGCATGTTCTCCCTTTGTCTGCGTAGGTTTCCTCTGGTGCTCCGGTTTCCTCCGGGTGCTCCGGTTTCCCCTACCACTAAAAACATGCACAATATACCTGTATGAATGTAAATGAGAGAGTGAATGGATGGTGTTGGTTGGAGGCTGACGCTCCAGTGTATTCAGCGACTCGCTTCCGTCATCACCGTGTGTGGAATGATTGGAACAATATCTGAACTCTGAACATTGTAAAGAGCTTTGGGTGACCTTGGTCTGTAAAATGTGCTATATAAATAAACATTACTTACTTACGAAGTGCTACAATCCGTGCTCATCAAATTAGAGAGTTTTGTTCAAAAAGTGCAGAGGGGGTTATTTCTTAAATTGTTGGAAAATCCTCCTTTTAGACGCTACCTTTAATGATACACGATAGAGAGTTACGTTTAGGTATGCAGTCTGCAACATGGTTGCTATGGTATACAAGAACGAGGTTAATTTGGATTTTTCAAAATAGAAATAAAAAAGAAGCCCGTGTCTTTTTCACACAAGCTTCAGGATTTCATATTTTTTGTGTGTAAAACGTGAACCAGCGCGGACGGTAAAACAGTGACCCGCGAGAGACGAAATTTTACGCTAACATTAGAATTAGGCAAAGATAGCAAGCACCAGTACGTGGGAGAAACCCCGTCTATCAACAAAACAATCACATGTTTTGTTTATCGGCACATTAAAACAATAGTAGATAGCGTCACATGTTTTTAACTTTCTTACCTTCGGCTTTACCATGGGTATATTATGGGCTTCACCAGGAACTCTGCCTGTTGTTTGTATCCTAGCAACAAACCTGTCTCCCGGCATTCAACCAATCAGAAGTGTTTTACTCACTTATATTGAACTTATTTGTTTTAAATGTACTGGTTATACACATAGCGTGTAAATGCAGCTTACTTTCTTTAATTGACACTTTTTCTTGTACATAATATATCCTGAACAAATACATCCTGATATTTTTTGTCTTTAACATGTTTGTACATTTCTGTCTTTTGCACAGATCTGAGTGAGTCTATCTGCAGTACAGTACAAAAGTTTGGACTCACCTTCTCATTCAAGGAGTTTTTGTTATTTTCATGATTATGAAAATTGTAGACCCACACTGAAGGCATCAAAACTATGGATTAAAACATGTGGAATCATGTACGTATTAAAAGAAAAAGTATGAAACAACAGAAAATGACTTATATTCTTCATCAAAGTAGCCACCTTTTGCCGTGATTACTACTTCACACACTCTTGATGAGCTTCAAGAGGTAGTGACTTGAAATGGTCTTCTGACAGTCTTGAAGGAGTTCCCAGAGATGCTCAGCACTTGTTGGCCCTTTCGCCTTAACTCTGTGGTCCAGACCGTCCAGCTCACCCCAAAACCATCTGGATTGGGTTCAGGTCCGGTGACTGTGGAGGCCAGGTCATCTGGCCCAGCACCCCATCACTCCTCATTGGTCAAATAGCCCTTACACAGCCTGGATGTGAATCAATGAGTTATGAAAAGAAAGAAAACTCATTGAATGAGAAAGTGTGTCCAAACTTTTGGTCTGTACTGTATGCGAAATGGACATGTACATTTCTCCTATGTGAGATCAATAAAGTCTACCTTATCTTTCCTATGAGTTCTCATTTATAAAGCATTCATAGTGGGGTAAAGTGGGTTTAAGTGTATTACCCAAGGACACATTGACAGCAGACATCAGAGGGAGTCGGTGGAGAAGGTCTCATGGTGGGCTCAAACCCACAATCTTAATTAGAATCCATATCTGTGAAATCCTAAATACCCTTTAATCCATTTCTGGGTCAGGGGGGTGGCAGTCAGAGATGCCACCCAAGTCTCATAGCACCAGCCCCTCACTGACCCTCTGCAGGTGGTGAGTCCACAGGAGGGACTCACCACCTGCAGAGGTGAGTCCAGACAGTCCAGAATTTATTTATCATCACAAGAAACATTCAATACAATCTAATCGGTACAATAAACTATAGCAAACTACAGCGAACTGTCCCCACACACTTGGAAAGGGACCAGAGAGGGGTGAGGTCTGGAGCAGGTGCAGGTTTCATCATGGGCTCACTCACAGCCTGCATCTCGAGCTCCAACAGGAATATTCACTTGTGTAAACGCAGAAAGTCTAAAGTGGGTAGAATAAGGCAGAATTTTTGACACTTAAGTGCAGATTTGAAACTCCTATAAATTTATTGAAGACATGGGTATACATTTTAAAACCCCCCAAAAAGTTTTAGTATATGTAAAAAATAAAAATAAAAAAGTCACTCATTCATTTTGTGCAGAAAATGTTACATTCACATCATATTTACATGATTTTGTTTCTGGTAAGAAATGTACACTTACAGAAGCATTCACACATTCACACAATTCACTATGAGAAATATATTTCCATATAACAAACTTGACATTGAAGCTCATATAGTCTCTGTGTCATCCATGTGTCTTTTCCTCAGTTGTGAAGTTAAAAGACATAACTGGAAAGAGGGAAGAAAATACAGTTTTAGGTATTTGATTATTTAGTAGCAATCAATCAAAATGCTGTCACATGTATTGAGCACATTGACATTATTGCATTATAAAATATATTTGTGCATTTAAAAAAAAAATATATATATACACATTATAATCTAATAATATAATTCTGAGTTTATTGAATAGTTACCTGATGTGTAGCTGAAGTTGCTTTTTGTTCGGCCTGTGTAAGTCGTATTTGAAGACGGCTGGTTTTCTCCTGATATTCTGCCAGCTGTTGCTCGTACTGCAATACAATAAAATGGTGTTATTCTCATTGAATGAATAATAACATTATCATTATAACTAGTTTACCACCATTGAGAGAATGAATAATACCATGTGAATCTTCTTTGGGTGTTTATAAGTACTATGGATATTATTATTAAAGACAAGACATGTTCTGTTCAACTTAAAACTGTGGTGTTCATTGAAATTATTCTTGGTGGGAAAGGTGAAACAAAAACTGGAAATGCTGAAGAATGCTCATAAACCATCTGTGTGGAACATCTCACAGGTGAACAAGGTATACTTTACTGTATTGTTACCATAGGGGAATTTGTCCTCTGCATTTGACCCATCCTTCAGAGCCACAAAAGCAATCTGTTCGGAGCATTTGTCGCCTCAGGACAGCGCCCAGACACCCATTCCCAGACGTTGATGCTTGTCTTTATCAGGGCTACCTTTGCTGGAAGATTTAACCTATAATGCATGTTTTGGCTGCTGGAGAGAACCGGAGGGCCTTGAGGAAAGCTAAGCAGACATGGAGAGAACATGCAAAATCCATTCAGAAAGCCCCCTGCCGGAATTCAAACCCAGGACCTTCTTGCTGAGAGGGTGCCAGCCATGCCGCATGAATTCAAAATAAGCTGGGGTCAGGGCCATTCAAAGACAAGATCGGCAAATAGTCCATCAGTTTAGGAATGTTTTTCAAAGTACACTTGTGAGGATGTTGGCAACTTAAAGGCGCTATACCCGTTTCTGCAATGTTTGAATGTTTAGCACCGCCCCCCAACTCGCTCACAGGCTTCTCATTTCCCCTACGCTCTCATAACACGGAACCACCTAGTTTTATTTGCGATCTGATACGTATGCTAACATTAGCATTAGCGCAACTTGTAAGCTGTGCAACAATCACTGATGAAATGGTACTAAAGCAATGCACTGCTAACACAATATATAAGTAAAAGAATACCGCTTGTTTCGCGTCCGAATGTATTAATTTAAACATTAGAATATATTCTAATATTGAATTATAATGTATTATACAGCTCCTCACAGCAGCAGCACTCCATTGACTTGAATGCAATTCTTCCAATCATTTTTTCTTGATAACAGAACTCTCAAACCAATAATGACCGAAGCCCCAATGCAATCTGTTTGTAATTCAGGTGTGTAAAATACTGCCATTACTCCGCAATTACAAGCTATCAGCGCCTGTCACTACACTGTGCAGTTTCTCTGCACACTTGTCTGTGTAGAGAAGCTAGCGGAGCTAGCCACGCTCGATAAACAACTAGCTACATATCTATCAATCAACACCATTAAACGTTAATCAGACAATGACACTTGAGATGACACTTGCACGGGCGATTTCAGAATTTGCGGTCAACGTTTTCATGACAAAAATACTGTTTTAAAGTGACAAAAAGCGATCGCGAAAAACCCGGAAGTTGCCATGAAACAGCTAGCTAGCTTAGCTGTTACCTGCCTAGCACGTCTCGGTGAAACCTTTGGGAGCCAACTATTTTATTTGCAGTCATTAAATACATTTCGAATTGTAAGGGCTGTCTAATATTTGTTCGAATATATATATATATATATATATATATATATATATATATATATATATATATATATATTTTTTTTTTTTAATTTTAGAATTATATTCGAATTTTGAAGTCGAAGCCCTAGTGTTTAGCAGCGCTGTAGGGGCTAGAGGACGCAGGCTGGTCGCTGCTCGTTCTGTGAGCGGAGGAGAACGAGCGGCCAGTGTTGCCAACTTAGCGACTTTGTCGCTAGATTTAGCGACTTTTCAGACCCCTATAGCGACTTTTTTTCAAAAAAGCGACTAGCGACAAATCTAGCGACTTTTTCTGGTGTTATTGGCGGCTTATCTGGTGTTTTGGCGACTTATCTGGTGTTTTGGAGACTCGTGAAGCACGTATTGTTCTGCTGTCCTCAACGTGAGCCCCTCCCCCGTCCCAAAGCACTTACAGGCGGCCAGTCTCACAGTAGCCTTGCGCAGCAGTCCCAGCTACAGTCTATGGGCGGAGCAGAGAGAGAGAGAGGAGACTCAAAAGCACAGGGAGTTTTCAGGCTGCTGCAGACTGAACTTCAGCTCCACCACCACCACACATCCAAAGCTCCCCGGCCACTCCTACCACCGCCACCCCCCACTACCCCCCACTCCATCCGCGGCAGCTCTGTCCGTGACTCTGTTTTTCTCTCAGTAGTGGGTCACATTAAATCATTTGTTATGCCAAACTATGAAAAAAAAAAAAAAACTTACAAAAATAAACCTAAGTAACTCTGCCAGAGTGTGTCTTTTGGGTCACTTTGCCGGTCCCAAGCCCGGATAAAGGAGGAGGGTTGGTTGTAGAGCTAGCAATTTCACCCTACATAACAATCTTTTGATTACATTTGCTGTTATAACATTTAACAATACAGGACAAAACTGATGTGTGTAATGTGGATCTAGACAAAGCATTAAAATCATTAAATGTTGTTAATGTTGAAATTATTTTTGTACATTTGTAGTTCTAAACATATTTAGGGTGTTTTTACTCACTTTTGTCTCTCCCACGACCTTATTCCTCTCTCCTACAGCGTCCGTTACAGTTATTTGCAAATTGCAAATTATGCAAATTAGGCGATGACGTCATTTAGCGACTTCTAGCGACTTTTGGGACAGCCAATAGCTACTTTCCTTACTGAGGAGTTGGCAACACTGCGAGCGGCCCGCTCAGACTCTACTCAGCACTTTTTACGGCATAAATTTCATACACAGCTGAATCAATGACCTCAAGTTTTCGATTAAAGTATGTATTATGATACAACTTGTATGTAGTAAAAAGCATTTTTATGAACTACTTAGAAAAAAAATCTTCTTTAAAAGCTTAAAAGCTTCTTTAAAAATCTACTGTCCATAATATCATGAACTGGCCTAATGCTGGTGCGCAGAATCAGGACAAAAGCATTTCAGATTTCTTGAAAATGTTCAAATCCAAGTAAAACAGTTTTGTTTAGCTGCGTATACAACTGGTAGGATTATATCTTATTTATCTGCGTTGTGTGATTTGTGTGATTGTTTCAATTCTTGGTCCGTAAAGCACTTTGAGTTGTGAACTATGCAAGACAAATAAACTTGCCTTGCGTTGCCATCATAAAAACATCAAGAACATCTCTCTAAAATGTCTGTATATAAGCGGCCAGACAACATTGGTCTGAGTGCTGTCTCTGGGACCTTCGAGCCTTCGGGCAGCACTTGTTAAAACAGACATCAATGTGTAAAATATATAACAGAAAAGACTGATCATAGCAAGCCACATTCTGCAAGTGCTACAGGAGAATGGCTTTGTAGTAAAAGAAGTCGACACTGCCTGAAGTCCAGACTGCTCTTCAGTTTATTATGTCAAGAGCAAAATGGGACTTAGGAGACCCTGGATTGTTGACAGACTGAAATGTTACATGAAGCAAGTATGGGAACGCAGCTGCCAACAATATCATGTTTTTTTTTAAATATATTGGCATGATTAAAAAATACCTACAAGACAGACTTCACAGGTAACAAAAACTATCCCATGGCCAGGCAATTGCATAATCCCACAACAACGACAACCCATGCAGTCCATAAGCACACAGAATGGATCAGACACCAGGCAAAAAGTGAACACACTCTACCATACAACAAGAAACCTTCTGGATTGACACTAAACACCACGGATAAATGTGATTCGTCTGCGTTTCTGTAGAAATATGTTTAGGTTTGCTCCTTGATTTTTGCTGCGTTTGGGTGATGTTTCAGACTGCCATCTTGTATATTTTTGTAGTCACAGCCCTTTTGTTTAATCAGTGCTTTAACTGCAAGTGAGTCCAAGAAGCGTTCCTCTTTGATCTATTTGTTTTCTGCAGATCCAAAACAACAATGGAGGGATGAAAGAAATGGAGCTGTAACACTGAAGTCCGATTCACAATGAGTGCATATTTAAATGATTCGTTTTCTTTGTGATGTTTATTGGTTCGACAGGAATTGCAAATTGTATTGTTTTCATGTCAACATCCCAATATCATTGCAATTGGGGTTCAGGCACTTTACATCCAACTTTAAAAAAAAACCCAAAGAAAACTGACCTCTGCAATAGTGCCAGAATGAGCTTCAATCTGCAGTTCAAGTTCATGTGAGCGTTGCTTTTGACGATTAAGCTCGGACCTTTAGAAATAAAACAAATGACATTAACTTGAATACACAAAGAGTAACTAACTTTTCTGTTATTTCTTTACTTGTGGCTCATTGTTTTTGTCTCAAAATCCTGGATGAGTTTTTTGGCCTCTTCTTTCCAGCGCTGAGTGGTTTTCTGCTGTGCGGCGAGAAGGCGGGCGACATCAGCGTTGTTTCTTTTGCTCGATTCTTCCAACTCACGAATTTGAGCGTCCAGTTCTCGCTCTTTTAAGCAATATTCCTGTTCCAATTGCGACGTCTAAAGAAGGTGAGACAGTTTTGATTTGGGAGATTTGCATTCATTATTCATTCACATTTGCAAGTAACAATATTTACCAGTTGCTTGGATTTCTTTTGATCAATCACATAAGATTTTCTTGTATCGTCTACATCTTTGCGGAGCTGAGTATTTTCCTGCTGTAGTTTAAGACGCTCCTCGCTGATGCTCACACACTCTTCCCTGGATGTAGCCAAAGAGTTCTGTAGCCGTCGGACTTCCTCTTGGCACCGGGACAGCTCTTCACTGTAGCTTTAAATGGATGAACACATCAAAAGACAGGTGTGACCAGCGCAGATGGAGAGGAGATAACATGAGGTTTCCTTGCTAACATCATTACCAGGAGCAGATGGAGCCATACTGGCACCACTCCTGCTGTCACCTTACTGTTCCAACAAGAGTGAGAAGTGAACGCGTCCGCTTACTCCATTTCCATCTTTTTAAGTTTGCTCTGGGTGCTCTGCAGAGTGATAAATAGGTCTTCTCTCCTCCTCTCGGCCTCCAGACACTTGTGGTGAAGAGCTTCTATCTTTCTAAACTCTGGCTCCGCTCTGCCCTCTTTGTACACCTGTCGTAGTAATTATAGTAACGTTATTAAAATGTCAGGGGGGAGGGGTACCATATGTAAAACAACCTTTTCAAGTTCTTCCTCCACGGCTTTTCTCTCTCGTAAGGACCTTTCAATTTGCGATTGTTTATCCGCACATTCCTAAAATGATAAATATATAATGTAAGAGATATTTTTTTCTGAGATGTTATGACATGTTATTACCAGTTGTAATGCAGACAGCTCCTCTGTCATCCTGAGAATCTGAACACTGCACTGCTTCCGAACATTCTCAACCTTGTTTTTAAGATGAGTTTTGCATCATAAAAACAATCCAAAAACAGCCAATTTCTTTGAGGTTGAAACTTTCTTACCTCTTTTCTCGTACGGACCGCTGCATCCTGGATCAACTGTTTTATAGTGTCCTTTGTCTTTTGCAACTCCTCTGTTAGCTGTTTTTCTCTTAACAGGGCCTTCAAAGAAAAAAATACATCCTAAAATGATTTGTCTATTTATGTAAGCACAAAGGTGAAGAACAACAAAAAGAATGCTCAAAAGGGGTACGCAGAAGCACTCTGTCTGTTCAAGCCTGCCACCTTTCACATTTGTTACACTAATTATCATCTTTGGTAACTCAAATAGAGAACTAAAATGATATGCTCCATTTCCCCAGCTGGGCACTTCTAAATAGAACAGAATAGTGTACCTTCTCTTTCTGCAGTGTAGCCTCCTCCACGGTCTGATCTTTTACTCGGACCTTGGTTAGAGCTGCATATTTCTCTTCCTCTAAAGTGGTGCAACGGGCTTGGAGCTCCGCAACCTTTTGTTCATAAACACTTTGAGCTCGTCGAACAGTTTCTGCTTCCTGCGTTGCAGCATTTAATCTAGTAGCAAAAAAACAAATACAGCGCATAATGACACAACACGTTCGGGTGTATAGACCCACACGTTCATCTCACCTGGATTCCAGTTGACCCAGGGCCGACTGAAGCTGCTGCAGTCTTATATCGCTTGCATTCTCTCGCCCCTGAGCCACGGCCACATCTTCTTCCTGAACACATGTGGTTTTCACATCCATTTAATCTTGTCTATTAAACATACTTGGCCCATGTTGACACCCTACCCGTCTCTGCATCTGTTCCTGGAGATTCTGCAATAATTTGGTCATCTCGTTTACTTTGGCTGTAGCCATCCGCAGTTCAGCCTTAGACTGCCTGCAAAGTAAGACGAGCACACACTGAAGAACTGAGAAAATGGGTTTATCTTTTTCTGAAAATTGCGAAAATTGTCTAAAATCAAGCATTGCCAATGGGACAAACATCTTGTTAATTGGACTATTGCTTTTTCCAAATGAAACAGTAGTTAACATTAGGAGTGAATATTTCTTACTACAATAAATCCTTTTTTTCAATCAAAATTGAGAAAATTATCCATACCTGTTATTACTTTGTAGCTCCTCCATTTCGGTTGTCTGCTCAGTTAGTGTCTTGAGAAACTGCTGGTTGGTCTGTGTGTGGCAAGATAGACAAGAGTTCCTTTTGTGAGGCATCCCCTCAAAAACCCAAAATAATACTGTCTTTTTCTAATACATCATATGGCACAGTCTCAAATACAAAGGCCGCCGTCTGAGGAAAACCCCAAAGCCAACCTATACATTAATAATTGATCAGGCCTATAGTATTACAACCCATTGTTTCTGAAGGGTAGGAGCTGACATGTCACAGTGGTGTATGTGCCTGTCCTTTGATAAACCTACTGTAGAACACCAGTAGAAATAATGCAGTCTGACATAATAGACAATAACTCACTTTTAATAACTTATCACTTACCATTCCCAACTTCTGATTGTCTACTACGAGCTTTTGTACTTGTTGTTGGAAATGAACAAGCTGATCCTGTAAGAAGTAAGACAATCGCTCACATTAAATAGAGCAACATATGTGAAGTGAAGCCAGCAAAGCCGAACAAAAGCCTTTTATGAAAGCATTTGAAAGGAAATGGCACCCTCTAGTGGTTAAAAGATGAAAGTCAAGAATTACTGAACTGTGAGCTGCTTCCTCTGGACATCCTGCATCTGCGTGTCAGAAATGGTCTTCTGATAAATCTGCTGAAGATGATCGAGTTCTTGGGACGCTGTTTGCCACAACTCCATGGCCTGTCCTCGCTCCTAATCAGTACACACATATATTAACACATGCTGTCTTGGTGGTGAATAAAAGGTTTCAACTGGAATCTAAACCTTTTCTGAAAGCTGTATCTGCTCCTGAAGGTTGTTGATAATGGTTTCTTCTTCCACTGCGCTGCCCTCAGCTGCTGTGGACACTGGGAGAACATGCAACTGCCTCTCCACGGACTGCCTGAGCTCTGTATGCAGCCTGAAAACAATGATGCTTAAAGGTCATTTTCAAATATAGTTGTTCCTATATGGCGTAGAAATAAAATGTAATTTTGTTGGCTGTCACAAGTTCTTGATTATAAACACCGCAATAAGATCCTGCCTGGTTAACACTATGAATATTCAGTCTTTGAAAGGTGATTTTAATTAACACATGGTCAACTAGAAGGTCACTGACAAATGAATGTGACCTTTATCAAGACTAAAAGACAATTCACAAATCTGTATTCTCTAATACATTCTGTTTGTATGAGATATACCTAATTCCTTCATGTTAAAACTGGGGGATATCTGAAAACATCAAACAACAATATGGGAGAAACATTTCGGGCAACAACAAGATTTAGTAATTTATAGAGGTTTTATATAAATACGGCCTGAGAGCACTTGAGGGCATTTGAGGCTGAGGCAAAAGTATGTTCCACTTTCCATTAAGTGGAACAAAATTCTTGTTCTAGTGCAGATATAGCCATTCCTTACCCATCCGTAAACTCTGGTCAATTATTTCCCTACTTACGAAATGAAATGAGTATGATATGGTATGATAAGACCAGGCTAGTGCACACATGCGCTTATGTTTTCATTATAATCTCATTATAGGTTTTTTCATAATTAGAAAGCAACTCTAGGGCCGTACTTATTATGTCCATGTCACGTAACAAGGGGTGATTATGCACAATGTACATTCTTACCTATACTATTTTTTTTGTAATGTATTGCTTGCTGTATTTTTGTAGTATACATCATGTACTGTGATATAACCATACCTTTCGTTTTCCTTGATAACGCTGTCCAGTTTGACTTTTAAGTCTGCCATTTGACCCTGTGTATGTAAAAAACAAACTATTATTACAGGTTTATTGTCCAGGTTCATCTGTAATTAATCTTACAATGTCAAACTAATGTATGACATAACACACAGAGTGAGATACATCAACCCTATCAAAATAGGGTATGTGTGTTAATGTTGACAATTGAATCACAGCTTTTAAAATCCCCAAATAAAATAACTCATTAAATTAGAATTTTGAACGGTAAGCCATAATCATCAGAATTATAACAAATACATGTTGGACATATGTCAATCTGAATGTAATGAGTAGAGACCACATATTGGTTTCACGTTGAATTAAACTTTTCACAATAGATTTTTTTGAATAGCTCCTCTTCAGTTTACCTGGTATTTGTGTAGTTGTTTAGACATTTCTTCAATGTGATGATCATATTTATCAATCAAAGGAGCCATTACACTGAAAAAGATAAATGACATGAGCAAACGTTATGCAACTGAAGTAGTGTTTTTTGGAACGCAGATACAACATTTTATCTTGGTTTGACCCACGTAAAACTGAAGTAAACCTACCGGATTTGTTTTTTCCAGAACCAACAATTTTATCTTTAAAATGAGACATTAACACAATTTGTAATCTGACATAATTGATCTCCGTTGCCATTTAATGTAATCCTGTTTCAATATATTGGTCTCGAAAACAAGGAAAACAAACCTTCTATCAACATTCCAGGGAGTTACCGGTTGTGAACCCTCTCCAACCTAAAAACAACAGATAATATTTTGTTAACGGTTGTATTGTAAATTTGTAAATGTAGTATATTGTATTTACTAATTGATAAAGAATGTAAGTACAACTTGTATTCAAGTAAAACAATCTAAAGGATTACTTGGGATATTTTTCACTGTAAAGAAACATAAAAAGTCCATAATATGGAAATCCAACAAACTCTATAGCTATGGCTTGTATCACTTCTCAGTCTAAGTCTACTTAGCTGATGCCTGATAAATCCCCAAATGCAGTGTAATATCACAATCATGCAATGTATCTGAAAGTGGATCATACCTGTAATGGGAGTTGAGGGCTACTTCCATGTGGATATTGACTCAGAGAAGAATTGAATGTCTGGACTAAAAAGAATTTACAAAAATTAGCATTGTGAAACCAAAGCACTTGCTTCTAAGTTGTTATATTGTTTTCCTGTGGAAGCAAAGAAGCCAGAAATCATACATTTCAGACCAGAATATAACCTTGCGGTATACATGTGAGCTGTGAATTCATATCCCATACCCTCTCTGGATTGATACAGCTTGATAAAGTTAAGACACCTAACTTTAAAACCAAAACAAAAAAAATCCAACTATGTAATAAAATGACCCATTTCACTATTACTTTACTCTCAAAATAGTTTGCTGCCATTCTATCACTAATTCTCCTATTTTATTACTTGCATTTTGCATGCATATATTTGTTGGCCTCTCTCAAGTCTTTAGATCATCTTTTTCATACAGAAAGGTTTAAAAAGGAAGAACCAACCTCACTAAGCCAATCAGCTCTTAGTCGAAAACGTCAAATGGGGACTAACCATTGGACTAACAGCGCAAGTATGCAAAAGATAACATGTCTTATAAAAATTATAATTCAGCATATTGTGGTCTGATTTTATTCATACACATTTAATCTTACAACCATCTTTCAGAAATAACAGTACTGCTGCTCATTGTAGCAACAGCACATGTTTCCATGACTACATGTCAACAACACATCAGCATGGGCGCATGTGGGCTGTTCACATCCCCATGAGGTGTTTTTCACTCTCATTGCAGGTTATTGTTTACAACTCAAGGAGACTTCAGTCTCGGTTCTGTCCTTTTGAAGCTTCAGAAATGGGTTCGGAAAAGAGTTTTCTTTATCACCAAAATACGTAGTGTACCTTTAATGAAATAACAAGCTTCCCCAGATTTAACTTCCTACCTTGGTCTCGCAGAAAGTGCTGTTCAGCCTCCATGCTACAGTTGTATTTCGTTAATATAGTCGACTCTTTATCCACTAACTACAATCTTCAACCCGTGCGCTGTGGCGTGAGATAAGCCGATGGTTACCAAACATTAGCTCGCAATCTAGCTTTATCTGGCAGTCCCAGCTGACATGCTCTCCTCTACTTTGACTGGGCCGATCAAATAATCTAGCGTTATATCATATCAGGCTGATTAAAATAAATATTAATTATATGTAAAAATCAGGTAACATATTACAAGTCAATTCAATGGAGCTAACGTTAGCATTGTCCCTACCGCCCCGCCTCCAGTTATCCGCCTCCTGTTTGAAGCGAAGCAACAAACAACCAATCCCCTGGAGGTACAACTCTGAAACCATTCCGGGTTATTACAACATAAACGAAAGAGCGTTTCGGATTATTGGTTTCGTTTCATTTCTTATCCAAACAGAGCATGAGGTACTAGCATTATAATCATTTATATTTTTCAAAATGTAATTCTTATATTCAGGTTTTATTTTAGCATCGTAAGTGTGTTGGAAAGGCATTAGATATCCAGGATATAATATCCTGGATATAATATCCTGGAAAACAAGTCAGACAAGTGTCATACTAAACTATTACATCTATATTTATGACATTAGTGAGTTATTGGTTAACAGAGGCATCAACAATAACACTTTTATTAGATAAGAGGACACATTCAGCCACACAAGGTTAAATGTTTGAGACAAACAACATGGGTCTACGTGTGTTGCAATGTATTACTTTAATTTTTGCCTCTCTGCAACTTGCAGATTGTCTGTAAGTTACTATTTTCTCATTATTACTAAAATGTCATAATATTCAGTAATGTTTCTGTTTGCAGCCTCCAAAACCATCTGCAGTTTGCCATTGAGAACACCTGGGACAGTAATCCTGTGGACCATGATCCGATTAGGATTATTTTTTCTCCTGGTGAAGGGGGGCTGAAGATGCAAGTATATGGCCCCTTTTTCAATGACCCTGCAGCCCCTTCTGGACCCCCTGGACATGCCTTCCCAGGACTCTGGGATTATGAAGGTATGAATCAACATCGAGAGAGTGACGATGCTTTCAGATGTTGTTTTGATGAATTAAAACCAGATAAATGAATCAACTAAAATCATTGTTTACATCTTATTAGTCAAAAGAAATCTGATTTCCCATGTAAATGGGTTCACTATTTATCTACTCAAAAAATAACTTAAGATTCTTGTTCTTATTGTAGTTGTGGAGTCATTTTTCCTTGACAGCACTACAGAAAACTACCTTGAGGTGGAAGTCTGTCCGTGAGTACATTATTGTGACATCTCAGTTTAGTATTATTACATTAACACATTGTATCGTTATTAGACATGGACAACACCTCATTCTGTTGCTATCAGGTGTAGGACAGGCATTTGTGGTAAGTAGTAACCTTTATTATTGCATTCAATTACCTTTACCATTGAGTAACCATGACTGCACAGTTATATATAAAAAAAGATAATTTAAGAATATAAATCCTTATTTTTAACCTTCAGCAACAACTGCCTATGGTGTTTACTGCCACAGTCACAGGAGATCGATGGATGGGAGAAGCTCTAATTCCCTGGGGTTATTTCCCACCTAATGTTAATAAGATGAACTCTTATGCCATTCATGGCTCTGGAGCTCAACGCACATATGAAGCACTTTACTCAATTCCTAAAACAGAGATTGCAGAAGGCCAACAACCAAACTTGTAAGTTTTTTTTCTGTTCAATTTATATAAAAAGGAATTACAGTAAATGGTCTGGTTTCAGATTCAATTAGTTTACTATAAAGTATCACTTTGTTTCTACTCTGTGTAGAAGGAAAGAATCTCTTTATCAAATGTGGACATCTGGAAATATGTAACAAACTTCCCAAAGCTCATTCCGTCAAATTATCCGTTACATAAAATAAACAGAGCCGCTATAGGAAACTTGACTAATTTATAAAACAGTTATGTTCTAGCAATTTCTAATTGACAGAAGAGGTATTTGGATACATGAAAAACATAATATATCTTCTGATCTAATTTTTAGCCTTTTGTCACACTTTTGTACTCTTTAGTGTGAACAAGCCCATATTCAAGCTTGGGAAATAACATACAGTGCACTGAATTGGTTACATATGGAATGTACTCCATATGTATGTTAGAACAGTAACATTATGACCACCATATATAACCATGTGTGCTAATAATCATATTTAATGTAATCCTGCCGGCATATCCATTTGATTAATTCTCTTGTTTGTACTGTAGCCACCTGTTGCAGTATTTCCAACATTTTCAACTGCAGAGCATCATGGGAGATGACTGGGTGCAACCTGAGTCCGAGCTTTGGAAAGGAAGACCATGAAGTTTCATAATTGATCAATTCAGAGATTGACACTAAGAACAGATCTACAAATGAATGGGGCACAATCATTTATTATCAACGTGTATATAATATATCTAACACCATGCTAGTGGAAATGTATTCAACTTCAAAGGCTGTGCACACACACACACACACACACACACACACACACACACACACACACACACACACACACAAGACTACTCTTGAGGTATTCAATACCTCATACACATGTCCTCAGAGTGCAACCTGCAGTAGCTGAAAAAAAGCAGCAGGAAGGATGTTCAACACTTTCCAGTTATATCACTTATACAGCACCCCTGTGGTTAATTAACTGTTAAATTAGTTTGTTGAAAGGTTGTGTGTGAAAAACACCTTCGGGGAAATCCACTTTACATTATACCTCTGAAGAAGTATGTATACGTTCATTTGTATGTTTGACATGACATTGATATTACTTACAACTTGAATATGATACTGCTTTACGATACTTGATTTGGGGAAACTAACCATTTGTTATTTGTTCAATTGAACTCCAAACTATGTAACCTAATTCTGTTGACAAATTAATAAAGCAAATAATATAACCATTGTTGCAGCTTCCTGCTGACCTGAGCCACTAGAGCAGGGGTCCCCAAACTTTTTACTGTGAGGGCCACATAACTTTTCCCTTCTTCGATGGGGCCGGGTCAGTTTGTAACAGAAAAAGTGTGATGATTGCAGCGTTGAAATAGTTACTAACTAATGTAGTTAATAATGAAAAAGTTCATAACTAAGGAACTTTTTAATTGCAAAAGTCCGACTTTATTATCAAATACACATATGAGTGTGTTCACAGTAAAGTGTCAATCAAAGTATCTGGACTTTAAAAGGTTGTAACTCAAAAACTAAAATTACTATCATAGATTAGAAAAAAGATTTCAAACACAGACATATTGAAGAGATAGTGTGGATAAAATCAAGAGGAAAGATTGACAGATATATTTTTGGCGACAAAACGACCAAATCAGCCTCTGATTGGACCATTCTACTGTGACGCTGTTTACATAGAAAATAAAATGTCCTCAGTCTTAAAAAGCGGCAGATGAAATCCCACAAGATTTACATGGTTAACACAACATAAGTTAATCACTTGATATAAAAAGGAATTGTTAAAAAAAAGTGTGAATAAAGGTGTAACGGACGTGATGGTTTCTGTCCATTAAACTTGAGAAAAAAAATCTGGTTTCACATTTAATTGGTTGACTATATGAAATTATCACTTTGTGAAATTACTCTATGTAAAAAAAATAGAATCTCGTAATCAAATGTGGACTTGTAAAAATACGTAACAAACTTTGCAAAGCTCATTCCGTCAAATCATCACAGCCGTTACATAAAATAAACAGAGCCACTATAGGAAACTTGTCTAACGTATTAAACAGTTATGTTCTAGAAACTTCTAATGGACAGAGGAGGTATTTTAATACATGAAAAACATAAAATATCTTTGGATTATTAAAATCAAATTTTTGGCCTTTTGTCACACTTTTGTGCCCTTTAGCGTGAACCAGCCCATATATGAAAATACTCTCTGGTATTGTTCAGGGGGCCGGAGCAAATGTAGGGGCGGGCCGCCCATGGTCCGTAGTTTGGGGACCACTGCACTAGAGGGTCAAAGTGAGTCCTGTAGAATTGGAGACACGCTTGAAGCCTAAGCTAAGCTAAAGTGATTCAAATGCATTTTGAGTGATGTATGAGCAGTGCACAAATCAAAAGATGGAGAAATTATAAACCACAACAACAAATGTCAAAACCTAAGAAGTTGAACGGTCAACAAAAGATACTGCTACCCACTCAGCCCTGACTCATCATCAGTGTCTGTTTTTAATAAGTAGTAGAAATTCAGATTTACCGATCACAGAACCAGCCATCCTACAACCACTGATGTCTGAACCTCCTTTAATGTCTGCCTCCTTCAGCCCATCCTTGCCACTGCCCCTTGGAGACCCCATTTTCATCTTCTACTCCTGGAACTCTCTTCTGACCCAAAGACCAAAGAGTAGGTGATTGATTCTCCATGTTGTGTGTGTTTCACTGTGGCAGCCCAAAATCCCATATTGAGCCTTATCAGTTTTAATTGGTATTCTCTTCTTTGAAATGCATAAGCCAAGGGAGTATGCTACATTAAGCCCTGTCCTGAGGATCACCTGCAGAGCCATTGCAACACACTCCACAGCATTAAGTCTCCTTTACAAATCATCCCTGACCTAAATAGATTATCTAGATTGATAGCAGTGGCATAGGCCGTCAAAAATAATATTCATAACTTCAGTAAGCCCGGCCACCTGTGCACAGTGGTGTGGTGCGTGTCCCCACCAGCTCCCTCTAATTAGTGTGAAAAGATGAGAGAAAAGTGCAGTACAGGTATCAGGCGCCGAAACCCCAGCAGACAAGCAGACACAAGAGTCTGTCTTAGCACTATGAAAGCAGAGTGGCTGTCTCTAAAACATTCAGCAGCGGCTTAAGGGTGATTCGGAGTGTCACACTGAAACTTTCTGCTAATCACCCCGTGCATATACTTCCTCTATTTTTTCGTGGGTCTGATTTCTTTAAGTTTGAAAAGTGTTGGAGGGTATGAAAGAGGGCGAGGTTGTGATGAAAAATGAAATGACTGCAATTGAAAGCAAGTTTTCAGAGCCTGAAAACAGTCTGTGGTTGAAGAGGTGGAAACTGCATGTTCTCCTCTGGTGGTTTAAAGAGCAGCACATATGCCCGGCTCTACGCGGCACCAGCCAGAGTTGCAAGTTCAATTCCCGATTGGCTTCCTTTTCAAAACATGTAGCCTTATCACAAGCTTTAATCATTTAAACGTGCATCCCTAAACTGTCCTGGTGGAGACCTGCTTTTTGTGAAGTGGTTTGATTCCTGCTTCTTATTGCCCATGCCTGCAACTAATTAAATATTTTACTTTGTGTACTAATAAATGGATGATAGATTAGTTTTGGCAAGATACTCATAAAGCAATCAGATTCAGATTCAGATTCATTTATTTGCCATTTGCAGTAAAACCACATAGGAAAAACTGTGCAAGACTACCCCGGTGTGCACCAGACAGAGAAGACACACCAGAGCTCTTGCCATTAATCCAAGGCATGTCACCATTACAGGAGTAGCACTGAAAGGACTAGCTCTCTGCAATTTTACTTTCCATTCATTAAAATCATAAAATATTCAGTTGTATGCAAAGCTAAATTAACTTTTTATGGACCTGGATTTGGACCATGTCAGTGTAGAAATCTGTCTCACATTTTCAGCAAGACTTTCAGATTTAAGCATCATAAAAATGCTGAAATGCTGCCTCCCAATGTTTAATAATAATAATAACAATGCATTGGTTTTATATAGTGATTTTTTGGACACTCAAAGATGCTTCACATGTCATTATTCATTCACTCCATACACGGTGGTGATAAACTACAACTGTAGCTACAGCTGCCCTGGGGCACACTGACAGAAGCGACGCAACCAGCATGTGCCATCGGCTCCTCCGACCATGTCCTCACAAAAAATGCCACCAAGACATGAGAGTAAACCAAGGGTTAGGGTTATGGGGTATGAGTTGCTTCTTCAGCGGTCGCTGTTTCGGACCGTTGTGGTAAAGAGGGAGTTGAGCCGAAAGGCAAAGCTCTCAATTTACCGGTCAATCTTTGTTCCCTCCCTCACCTATGGTCATGAGCTTTGGGTAATGACCGAAAGAACGAGATCGCGGATACAGTACAAGCGGTCGAAATGAGCTTCCTCCGCAGAGTGGCTGGGCGCTCCCTTAGAGATAGGGTGAGGAGCTCAGTCACACTGGAGGAGCTCGGAGTAGAGCCGCTGCTTCTCCACATTGAGAGGAACCAGTTGAGGTGGCTCGGGCATCTGTTCCGGATGCCTCCTGGACGCCTCCCTGGGGAGGTGTTCTGGGCATGTCCCACCGAGAGGAGGCCCCGGGGAAGACCCAGGACACGCTGGAGAGACTATGTCTCTCAGCTGGCCTGGGAACGCCTTGGGGTTCCCCCGGACGAGCTGGAGGAAGTGTGTGTGGATAGGGAAGTCTGGGCGTCTCTGCTTAGACTGCTGCCCCCGCGACCCGGCATCGGATGAAGCGGAAGAAAATGGATGGATGGATGGATGGAGTTGCTTCTTCACTCATTCATTCCTTTCACTTTAATTTGATTAAATATTATTCACATTTATGTTTGTCTACAGAAACATTGTTTTTGTCATACCAATTACTTAACAATTTAAAACATCAAATTGCAATCGAGATCAGTCTATATGGAGGGAAAGAATCACGATCATCATTTTCCCTGAGTGCATTAATGCCTTTAACATACTTTTCACAAGGTTAAAGCAGTTGGAACACATGACAGTGTGCTATTGTGTTTACAGCCAAGGTAAGTAACGAGGCAGCGCCGCAATGTTTCCCCATGTGATCGCTGATTAATTTTACCTAATTACTGTCCAACAAGTCGATCATTACCGGGAGAACTGCAGGGGTTAAGGCTGGAGACTCCGAAACATCTGTGCCTGGGCTCCTCAGCGTGACACAGGCAGGGCTAATTGCAGATGAAGCCAAACGATGTGTGCAGGAGGCAGCAGTTGAGAGATGATTGTGGATAGAGAAAGAAGTAAAGTGAATACATAGGGCAGTAATGAGGGCCACGCAGGTTTGGTCTTCAAAAACACAGCAGTACCAGTGTGCGCTGAAAGGAAAACCTCTTTTTTACTAATGTTACTATTCACATTAATTGGACAGGACTTTCAAAATGATAATTGTGTAATGAGAAGTAGCCGATCAACTTTGCTTTTCATTTTCATTTTATAACAACTGATCAAACATTCTGGGCAGTGTTGATGTCTTTCTGCTTCTATAACAGTAGTGTTGAAGAGGCGTTTGTTACTTTGACCCCCAAGTCCATGTTGTATTGTGTCTGCAGTTGATTTTACAATTGAATTATCCGTTGGCAATCTCA